AAAAGGCACCTACAGGGAGATGGTGTGGAGACCATGGAAGCTCCCAGAGCCCTTTTGGAAGACTTGGCTCCAGTTACAGTTCCATGTGAGTCTGAGGGAGTGTATGTCAGAGGAATGAAGCGGGTACCCCAATGAGTGAAGTTTAGCAATGATTCTTGTAGGGCTTCAAGCTTTTGGAGGAGTTCGCCTGTGCAGCCGCGCCAGTTTGGTTGCTTTGGCGGGTTGTAAACCCGCGGTAAATGCTCACTCCCTGAGTTTATAGACTTTATACTTGTTTGGGAAGACGATTTTAGTGGTAAACAGACAGTTCATGTTGTGTTTGGCCAATCCAATCGATCGGAAGTGAGTGTGTTTCACTTCAAATTGAGGCAGCCAAACTAAGTCTGGCAGCTGCGTTGCCCAACGGCGCCCTTTTTTCGGAAGAGTTTTTTTTTTTTTTAACGCAACCAACCCAAACAGAACGCCGATGCCCTTTTGTCCCATGGAAATCCGCTGAGCATCTGAGGCAGTGTAAGGATGTGTATTTCCTCGTCGCAATTCGGATTCTGGTGTGTCACGTCCTGAAGGTTCCTTCCACTCGGTCCTCTAATTTTTGGTCGGCGATGCCTGGGTGGTTGAACCAGCCATGCGATTCCTTATGTGTTTAGTTGTTTGTAGTTGGTTTGGTGTCCATTTAACGCATGCACAAGTTATTCACTTTGAGACAGCCCAGCATTCAGGGTCCTTTCTGATGCGTACCTCCGTTGCAATGCGCTGGGGGCGCATTTCTGGGGATCCGCGTGGCGTTCCTCGCGGTCTTTTGTTGGGTTTCCAAGATGGGTAGCTCGTCTTTTGTTTGAGGCGGGGTTCCCCTTTCTTGGTGGCAACAGGAAAATAACATGTTTTGTTGTTTTGTGTGTTTTTCCCCGGGTAGCCTTGTCAAGCTTACTTGCCCAAGGGACTTGGAAATCAGAGGTGATCACTTGTTGGGAAGCCAACAGGTCAGACCCTTCGCTGTGGGCAAGTCCGGGGAAGATCTTGGCGGAAGCCCATCAGATCACCGCTGAGGTCCTTTTTCGCCCAATGGAGATCGGGTACCGTAGTTCCCTTTTCCATCCTCTTAGTTTTTGTTGGTTTTCAGTTGGTTTTACCATCCTGAGGGCTTTCGTTGCTTTCTCAGCTGGTTTAATGTGGGTTTCTCTAAACCCAGCAGGGTTCACATCTACGGCCGGCCGAGCGGTGGATGCGCGGCGGGGCCCCGTAGAACTCCTCCGAACTCCGAGGCTGTGGCGCTGCTGTCCTTGATCACCTGCCCGGTGACCTTGGCCTTGCTGCCGCTCGGCTGCGATTCTTTGGCCGCAGTCCATCGAAAGGCTGTTGAATTGTCCAGCTGGTTCGGAAGGATTTATTTTGAAAGGCTATTTTTGTCGTTTGTGGAAAGAACCAGGGGACTTGATCTTTTGTTGGTGCATCCTCGACCTGAAAAGACCTTTTGAGAAAGTTCCTCTTTTCATGGCGCAACCTTTCACTTCTGGGTCCCGGCAACTGAGCTTGTTGCACAGGCCGGTGAGAGGATCAATTCGCACAAGGTCCCAAGGTCCTTCGGTAAAACTCACGCATGAGTTCCGTTTGGGACTTTAGTCACTTGGATTTGGAGCATAGCGGCATTCCCAAAGAGTCAAGTTTGGACTTCTGGCCGCTCCCCTCAAATTAGTCTCACTGTCCGAATTGCTGAACTTGAGTCACTTTTTGGGTTTGGTTTGGACCATTTCGGCGGTAAACAACAAAGTTTGGTGTGTTTAGTCCAGTCTTCTGGATCGGAGGCGAGTAAATTTGGTTCAAAGGGGTCCCGCAGGATCGTGGCCTTTGTCTCCCCTTTTTTGGGAGAGGGAGGGTTCGGGATCCTACTAAAATAGACAAAAACGAAAAAACAAATCGGGTCCCCTTATTCTAACCTCTCTGGAGGACCTAGGAATCCAAGCAGTTTTCTAAGGGTTGATTTTTTATGTTTTCAACCATCGTTCTGTTGAAAAACCGGATCCGTTTCCGCGCGTTTCCGGAAATTTGCTAGAAAGATTCGGATCCCTGGAAAGAATGGAAAATTGAGTTACAGAAAAAAACATCGGGTCCCCTTATTCTAACCTCTTTACTGGAGGACCTACTAGGAATCCAAGCAGTCTGACTCAGATGGCCCAAGCTGGCCACCGCGTTTGGCCTCACCGGTGCGCCGGAACTGGCGCTCACTCGGCTGCTGTCTGTGGGGCGCCTTGAGCCGGAGCTTGGGTCGTTGACTCCCCCAAAGCCGCTGCCCCCAAAAGGAAGCAGGGTATAAAACCCGGGGGAAAAAAGTACAAAAAACACATGGTGGTTGTAGACCATTGTGATTCCTATTCTCTTTCCTTTAATGGGAACCCGAGTGGAAAAAGCGCCCAACGTCTCATGTTGTTTCTTCCTGGGAACCGCTTGAGAACATCCCCAATTGGGTAACTCAATGCTTAATCCATATGCTAGATAGTAGTAGCTTCCCTTCCACCCCCACGAGTTTAGTGGGTTGCAGAACCTCTCCATAGCAAGGGTATATACCCTGTTTGAGGGGTAAGGGAAACCAACGGCATCCCGACTGATGCTTGTTCTTCGTCCTTTACTCACTACCTCCTGGATTTCAGTCAATGTTTGGGAAAACCATTTGGTACCCTAAGCATCAAGAAGTTGGGGTACCGCCGTTTTCACTGGTTGTAGAGAAGATACAAAAGGGCTGGCAGGAAGATTGCCACAACCCGACCTGTCGATTTTTGCCAAAAGGACAAGTCAACAGCATTGGACCCTCTCAAAGGGCAAACAGATCTCAAACAGGCCCCTGTTTAAGTTGCCAAGACTCTTTGGGCTGGTCTGAACACTTTTGCCATCCCTGGGCGTCGGGGAAGCAAGATCTTTCTTCTATTTTGTTTCTCAAAATAGGGAACCCCTCTTTCTAACAAATGTTAAAGGCAAAGCGACAGGAAGCCGCCCACAAAGGGCTACCTGGAAGATCCCCACCCCCTGGAATTCCATTTGTGGTTCCATTCTCCCTTTTATGGGGAAGACTAGATAAATGGAATTGGGGATGCCCCCCGCCCCCCTTCCCTTAAGGTAGGGGGGATCCTGGAAGGTTTCAACACCGAGGTACGGTCTCATGGCCGGGGGGAGCTTGATCTCTGGCGGCACGCTGGGCATGGTCTCGGTGATGCTGGTGGTCCAAGTGCTGACCCAGATCCACGGCACGGAGGTTTTCGCGAAGATGATCTCCTGAGAGAAATTCAGAGCCATACTGTAGGTGTCCTTTTTGGTTGTTGTGGTAGAAAAATAGATGGCAATGCCTGGTTTTCCTGGGGGTTTAATCATCTACCAGGGCCAGCTATTTACCCTAAAAGGACACTGAGTACGGATTCAGAGTCTCCTTCTGACCGATAAAAATGGGTCCATGACCCCTTAGTTTTGGGTACTGACCCACCACTTTTTAAGGGTCATGGAGACTCCTGACAGATTCAGAGCCGGGAAGTTTTTTTCTCGAGATTTCGGAGTCGGTCCAGTTCCGAGGGCAACGGGTTTCCTGTTTCTAGGTCCCGCAGGATCGGGCCCTTTTACCGTTTCTTTTTTTGGGGAGGGTTCCCTACTAAAATAGACTACAGAAAAAAAGGTACCCTTATTCTAACCTCTCTACTGGAGGACCTAGTGTTGGTTCCCCTTTGCCAACCAAAAAGGAGTCAGAAGCCCAGGGCGAGAAGCCCACCGCAACTCCACTCGTCCTTGGCCCCTACCATAACCAGCGCCTCTTTGGCTGCAATCAGTAAGAATGGAGCCGAAGAAATGAAGCTCCTTAGCTCATGGCTTTGCAGGACCTTCATTTTCATGCTGAGAAGACGTGTGTAACAATGCACACAGCACCAAAAACGTGGGGGACGACGTTTCCGGGACGAACAATGTGCATGGAAGGCTGCCAATTCACCCTTGACCTCCGAGCGCGGAGTCGTGGGTGCGGAATGGCGTCTCGAGACGCACGTGCAAAAGATGGCCGAGAGACGTTCCGGGATTCTCAACATGGGGTTTCGGTGGGAAGCCCCGTATGAGTCCAATCAACGGGTCCAATAAAGGTATATCCCTGGGATGCAATCCACTATTAAGAGAATTGGGTGCATACAACCACCATGGGTGTGGGTGTGTCTTTTTGGGGGGACCCGCCGCAATGGGTGATTTTTCTGTTGGTTCCCTTTAAAATCACAAAACATGGGGTACTCCCAAAAAATGAGACGGACCCATTTGGTTTGTCTCATGCGAGAGTTTCGTGAATGGAGGCCGGTTTCATTTGTAGCTTTGGCACCCAAGGACGATCCCAAGAAGCCCACTAGCCCTTTGAAGGGGGCAAAAGTTGAATGAATGTTTCACTTTTTGGACAGGCAATGGTCAGGGAGGAGAAATCAGGATCGCCTTGGCAGCTTTCGTTGAGCTGTCCATTCCAAAGAAACAAAGTGCGTTCCAACACCCATAAAATGTTCAGATCCCTTTCTGGTTCCCCAACAGCAATTGTGAGCCCCCCCAAGAAATGGCTCTTGGCGTGGTTTTGTGTGTTTGTGTCTTCTTTGGGAGGGCGGGGGGGGCATTGTCGTTCAAGCTCCTTGAGGCATCAGACGCAGAAGCGTGTGGACCCTTTCCAAGATCCGCTTATTCTTGGGACACGCTGGGTCCGAATCCTAATCTGTAACCATCATGCAGGTACCCCTTAGTTTGTGATTTGGATTGGGGACTCAAAGTTTCCAAACCACGCTCCAAACCACCAATTGGGGGGGGGGAGCTGAGAATCCTAATCTGTAATTAGTTGGATATGACGACAGACACTACTAGTGGCAAAAGGCAGGGAGAGGAGGCCAACGTTTGGGTCAGAGTGATAGGCTGAATGAATGTACACCCCTGGTATGCACCAATGGTTCTTGTCCACTTCTGGGCGAGTCAGCTTCCTAGCCAGCTTTCGACGTTGCTGGACTAAGGCGAGCGACTCCAAAGCTGCGGAGTGCCCTTGGCGCAATGTAGATGGACCACATCGCCAGCTGGTAGCTGTTTGTTTTCACGAACTGGGTGTTCATTCATCTCAACCGGTGCGGATTTTGTCCATCCGCAGTATGAAATTGACTAGTATATAGATTCTAAGGTTCACAAAGTACGGACCAGAATCAAACCGAATCGTAGATCGACAGGGAAACCGAAAGGAACCTTATTCTTGCCCTTTGGTACCTCTGGCCTTTTCACGATGCTGGACAGATGCTTGTCCGGGACATCTCTACCCACAAAACCGCGCTGCGCAAGTGAAGTGCAACGACACGCGGCATGTTCTTATAAAACAAGATTAAGGTTTGTAAGGTGCGTTTATAGGTGCTTATAGGTTCGGTCACGTGATCCCTTGCTTGGCTTGCTTCCTTCCTCCTTTCCTCCTTTCCTCCCTCCCTCCTTCCCTCCTTCCCTCCTTGCTTCCTTGCTTCCTAATTGTTAGGGTACGCCTGTGGGGTGGTTTCCCCAACATGGCTTCTACTTTCTGGAAAGTGGGCATGGGTGTGTCATGTTTGATGTTTTGGGCTTGCTTCAAAGGGAACCACAAGAGAACTACCCATCTGTGTGTGTGTGTGTGTTTGTTTGTGTGTTTCTCTCTTTGAGGGTAATTACCCGTTGGTTTTTCGTGTTTAAGGGAAGCCAACAAGACAACCTCTATTTTGGGGGTTCCCCTACAAGAAGACAAGCCCATTTCGAGCATTGCTATTTGTTGAGGCAAACCCAGAGCTGCGGAAAATGAAGAAACAAGACCATGTCCCTGTTTTCAGAAACTTGGCAGCGACGCCACCAGACCTGACCTTTGTGTCGGGTCCGTTTTGTGGTTCAGAAACTTGTCAGCGATTCTCCGCCATTTTTTGGTTCCTCCGAGATGTTAACGCCCCTACACTTTTAACTCGCCCTAAGAATCGAATGGTACCTCAAACAGGCCCTGTTTGAGGTCCCAAACCTTCCAACGCAGATCCCGATCAACCCCTCTCCTTTGGGTCCCTTTTGATGCGAAGTACTGGTACCCTCATCTTTAGAGCAATCTCCTTCTCGGGGATTACCAGATTGGGGTATTTAGTCATTTGGAGGGCAGCAATCGGTTTGGCTTCTCAGAAAAACACACCCATATATATATATATATTGAATGCAATTTCCAAATCCTGTAGGCAAGTGGATCTGTTCTCTAGATCTCTCGCATTGTTCCGTTTTCAGTCAACCTTTGTCATCCTTTCACCTTTTTTGTCCCTGGGTTCTCTCCCTTCATGGTTTCGCATTGCTTCGAGCCTCTAAACGATGAAGACCGCACCGGATAAGACTGGTCAATCGTTCCACCGGAACGGTGGAGCAGGAAAAGGAAAGCCTACAAGGTTAACTGGTTTAGCTTCTATTTTGGGGGAATATTTCAGACCTATTGTGGACGTTCCAATTCCAGCGGGGTTGGGGCACCTTATGTTCTGAGCATGTTCAACCCACTATTGTCACTATTGCTTAAAGAACCTCTTTCTAGTTCCCCTTTAAAATGAGACCAGGGTCTGATTGTTGCCCACCTTTCACCACCCTGCCCGGCCCAACCCCACCCCCCACCACCAAACCACCACCTTTTTCACTTCGGCCTTTCAGGCCCCGAACAGAGCGCAGAACCTCGCAGGCGTCGCCTCCCGAAAATTGAAGCAGAGAAACAAGGCCCTGTAAATTCCTGTAGATACCAACCAACCTTGTGGTTTTAACCGTGGTTTCTAAGAATCCATGGTTGAAACCAAACTTCTTTGTTGGCATTTACAGGAGAATCATTCCAGAGTTTCTTAGGTGCATGATTTCACCCATCCACAATATGTCTTTTGTCCTTTGTCCGGGGTCCAAACTTATTTTTAGACTCAATGTGGAGCAGAGTCAAAGAATATGATGTTTGGAGTTCCCCCACATGTGGGGCAAGGTTTCTTGTTGAAACCAACTACTGGTACGGATGGGAATCTACTGGGTGATAGTGGTTTGGTTGGATCTTTAACCTAGTGGTTTATTTTCTTCATTTCAGTTTTTGTTCGGGAAAAAGTAGTGTTTGTCCCACTGGTCAACAAAAGGTAAGCTGGTTCTGGGGCAAATAGCACCAACAAGTCTACCTTTGAGATGTTTGCCTTTCTGGTTTTGGCTCCTTTTCCCTTCCAGCCGCTTGCGCCAACTTTAGTCAGATCAGCTCAGCTTAGATTCGCGTGCTGAGTCCATCAGGTTCAATTGGATAGGATCTTTATGCTTGGAATTGAACTGGTCATCGATTCCAACGGCATTTCCGTTCCTAGTCCACTTGGGATTGAAAACGGCTTTTTTTTCTGATTGGGATTGAAAGTGTCATCGAATTGGTCAGACCGTTCTCGAGGCTAGTCTCTTTTTTTTTTCTGATTGGGGTACTGAAAGTGTCATCGAATTGGTCAGACCATGCTCGAGGTGGATTCTGGAGCAACATAGTCCACTTTCCCGAGTTGAGGTGCTTGGGCACTGAGGTTCTGGACAGATAGTTGGGACCCTGTACAGGACTCCTTAAAAGATCTCCATTTTGCCCATTTGAAACATGGCTTTTTCCACCAAAATAAAGGGAAACCATTATTTACAAGTTGCAATGTTCAGGTGTATAATGTAAGGATCCCTGCTGTATGCGTCATGAAAAGGCTATGCAAATCAAAAGAGTCCGACCTACTTTGCAAGTGGTTGGACATGAAGCTCCATGACTGTTTGATGTCCACCTGTCTGTGTATCTTAATGGGGAACCACCACCTAATGAAAGTCCACCAAAGGGTCCCCTGCTTGCGTGCATTAAGTTTCACATCCAAATATGAGCACACCGTTCATTTCTAAAGACTGTCGGCCTGAACGCCCTCAAGGTGAACTGCCAGCAAAGAAGAGCCACAGATCACTGGTGTGTTTTTGGGATGACTTGCTTTTGTTCAGGGAACTGTGGAGTCCATGGCCTGATGAAGCCTCCAAAAGGCCTTAAGTGTTTCTTCCAGGCTTATCCCGGGCTTCTCTATGGTGTTCCCTAAGATACATGGCAAGGAAATCCTTCGGGTTTCTTTAGTCGTGCTGTTAGTCCCTGGCTTATTCTGGGCTTATCCTGGGCTTATCCTGGGCTTATGCTGGGCTTACCCTGGGCTTGTCCTGGGCTTGTCCTGGCATAGTGGTGTTTCTCCCCCCCACCCCCAAAACAAAACAGCCAAGTGTTTTTCCCAGGGTTTTCCTGGCCCCCCCCAAAAAAAACAAAATAAGAAAACAAATGTGCTTCCCGCCCCAACAACCCCCCCCAAAAAAAAAACTAAATAATAAACATATATAATAAGCTCAAGTGACATCCCCAACAGCATGCGGTGCTCTTTTTAGTGCTCGCACCACCCCGCAGCCCTCGCAGAACCTTGTGGAACCCTGGTGGAACCCTGGTGAAACCCTGGTGGAATCCTCGTGTATCCTTACCTCAGGGCCACCCCAGAGCCTATCTGGGCTGAGACCCCAAAGCTTTCACCCAACAGCTGCAGCTGTTGGGGGAAAAACAAATGCGAAAAATAGAGAAAGCGAAGGACATCCTTTGGGTTCCCCTTTTCATAGGCCTCGGGGCATCGCATAGAGCGGCCAGGTGGAGTTCGATGCTCCAGGCCCTCGATTCGTCTGAAACGAATCGCCCGTCGACCGGATCGGATCTCAGACCCTGTTTTGGGGTGTGTCTTCTCTTAATGGTCACAGGGGTCCCTATATTTCCTTTTTTGCTGGTTTTACACATCACCTTTTTGGCCCATAAAAGTTGAGTGTCCCTTGGTGGGGGTGATGTTTTAAGGGGAAATATTGGGAGCTAGACCCATTTTGTAAGGGTCATAAATGGAGGCTCTAGGTAGCCCAAAAGGGACAGTAAAGGGACACGCTTTCCATTGTTCAACAACAAATGGAAAATGTTGACCCAGGATTAATAGACCCGTCCCATGATTAGGGGGGTGTTCCCTCCAAAAGTGGTCTCCCCACTAAAAGGGGACACCCCCTATTAATCAACGAGGGGTTTATTAATCCGGGGTTAACATTAGCAGACTCCCGCAAGATGGTGCTTTTGTTTTTTGGTGTCCTTGAAAGCAAATCGAAGCAGGGTACTATGAGAAGAAGACATTTTATTTGGCGACCATTTTTGTGGTTCCAAGAGATCACAATTTGCAGATCCAAGCTGGGGTGACAAAATCTTAGAGCCTGAGTCTCGGCCCTCGAGGTCTTTAGGCCCTTTCTGCCCCATGTCCTTTGATTCGGCAAGTGAGTCACAACGGACCCGACCCATTGGAGAAATTGACTAGGTCCCCCAGCAGTTCCCTTTTACCCTTTTTTCGGGGGAGGGTTCCCCTACTAAAGTAGACCGCAGATAGAAAAGGGTGATTCCAACCTCTCTACTGGAGGACTTGAACTCTCCGATCTTCATAAGGACAGCTTGAGACCCGAAAAGCACCACCCGAAAAGGCGTAGCCATCCACGTCTTTCGGCGGCATCCCCAAATCGCCCTCCCGCACCCGAAGCAATGGATGGGCCCAAGAAACAAAAGCGAATGGAAACGGGGAGTCACCAGATATTTGTTTGGGGTGATCTCGTTTCTTTGGTGCATTTTGCCAAGGGATGCTAGGACTTTAACTTTTTGCCAACTAATGTTTTTTCTTCCCCGAATTGAACCACTAAAAAGACTTTAAAAGTTAAACTTTTTGCAGGAGAGCAGAAAGCAACCGGGTTTGAGGGTTCAGGAACACACTATGAGAGAGCCTTCCCCACATATGCCGTCGTTATGGGGCAAGAATGTATGAAACGGGAGATCGTTCCCAGTTGGGGCGGGGATTTCATGTCCAATCACCAAGTGCACGCGCGTGAGAAGAGAAGCGACACGAAGGGCGAGTTTCTTTGGACGCTAGATTTCACTCGAAGGTGCCAATCTGATCTCAGGCGGTTTAGGGCAGTGAGCACAAAGCACTCGCCCAAGGACGCGCTTTTCCGTTCTTTGGGCATGGGTTGACAAGGCAATTTGTGTTGAGCCGGGTGTTCCCTGAGTTGTTCAGGATGCATGTCAGCTTTTAGCTGGAGTCGGTGTTTCATCAAGTTCCCCCTTTGCTAGATGTTACCTTCAAGCAACCTATAAGACCCACCTCCAATTCTCGGTGTTCACTTTTAAAACCAACCGAAAGAGCCCCGCATTAGGAGGTGTATAGCCGCTTGGTTCACCAACCAGCCGCTCATCCGGGCCAACCCAACGGGTCCCGAAGCAGACGTAATATGACACTTATCCTTCATGACTTCGTTTTGCTCCTCCACGGCTAACCCATTGCAAGGCGATCTACACCCCCCTAGACATATGCTTAAGAGACACAATCCTCCTAAGTTGCTTCATAACTTATGCTTTCAAGGCGGTTTAGACCATTATCACCCCCTTCTGTGGCTGGACCAACTCCTGCTTGGTTGGTCCCCGCGAAGGCTTCAAGTCGATTTCCCAGATAATGGAATGCAAGGATATGCTGTATGGAGCAAACCTGATAGGGGACACCCTTTCTGTGGACGGAAAAAACTCCTGCACCGGCGGGGTGGTTGTTTCCCCAGAATTAGCTCCCCTTTTTGCTTTGTTGCTTTTTGCATTTTTGCTTTTTGGAATTGGCCCCTTTGTTTTCCACTCATCAGGCAAAAAAGGAAAAACTGCCGTCCGATTTTTCCAGCCTAGGTTGCTCCCCGTGCGATTCGTTTTTTTCTCGCCAAGCGCAGGCTTGAAGAAGGACCGGGCGCAGTCCGCGCCGCGGCGACAAAGCCGGGAAGCCGATCCCGAGACGGCTATGTGCCGCTTTTGCGTCTAGGTCCCCCAGTGCCCTTTTACCGTTTCTTTTTTGGGTTTTTGGGTTCCCCTGCTAAAATAGACTACAGAAAAAAGGGTGCCCTTATTCTATCCTCTCCACTGGAGGACCTAGGCGTGATTTTCCTGTTGGTTGTCCTTTTACTTCGTCGAACCAGAGGGGGCCCTGAAAAAGTTTTTTCCCACACCAAGCCAAGGTAGTTTCAGACAGCCATAAATTGGTGGATTGGTTTGAGTTTGAATTTGAGTCACTGGTTCTTGTCGAGGGTGCATGGGAAGCTACCCACTAAAGTCCAAACTGCGGGTAGAGGAAGGGTAGAGAGGCCTCGAGGGATCAAAACGATGTTACAAAAGCCGCCGTTTTAGTTCTTTTCGTAGTCGCGTAGACCACTTGACCGCCGTAGTCGGAGGATTGGATTGGTGGTCTGTATGTGGACTTGAACCCCAGGTCTTGTTAAACCCCCGAGCTGCACGCCACCAATCCGACTTTTTGAGATGTTGAAGGGAAATAAACGCGGCAACCGAAGCCATCTTTGGTGTGTCTTTTTGTTGAAGCCTGTTAGGTTTTAAAGGGAAACCATCAGGAACACCGAAGCCATTTGGGGGGTCCCCTTAGAAAAGACACACCGCATTGAGGATGTTCCAACCATTAGAATCTCCTCTGTTTAGGTTCCTCTTAGAAGAGACATACCTGGACCCTCAAACTACCCATACAAATGGGATATCACCCCATAATTTTACACATTTTTAAGGGAATTTTGAGGGTTCAGGTACCCTACCTGAAGAAGGTCTGTTTCATATTGGGACCGAACGGGGAGATCAGGGCGCTACTGCTGCGCTAGATCAGCTGCATCCGTGTAAAACGGGCTCAGTTGGACAGCCCAGTAAGTGAGATGTTAGAGGAACATAGGAAAGGTGCCCGAATCGAAATCTGCTGCTAAAATGGCGTCCAAAAAACTTGGTTTCTCCGTTTCAGCCAAGGCCATACTGCATAAATTGACCCTCATTGGAACTGATAAGAAGGGAAGCACAAAGGCAGCAACTCTTCCCATGGTTTCTTGAACTCTCCCACGTGCAGGGTTGCCAGGATGGATCCCCAAGTCGTTGACCTCGTCTTCTGGGCCCAGAAGATCCTCACAGGCTTTCGTTTGCAGATCCCAGCGAGGTAAGCTTATTGTCTCAGAAGATAGCCCTAAGATCCTTGGCACCTCAACATGCGCCTTTCCAAGGGTACCTTCCCCTTCCCCATTCTGAACCCAGGGATCCGAATCTTTCTAGAACACCTCCGGAAGCCCAGGGGAAAACGGATCTGGTTGTTGAAAAGAACGATGGCTGAAAAGAATGGGAAAGGAATCAGCCCTTAGAACCTTTTGAGGTTGAAGCCCTTCCAAAGGGAGATCCAATGGAGGGTCCAATCCAGCCATTTCGGGCGGGAGACACTCATTCGGTTTTTTAGCTCAAGTAGATTGCTCCTTTTGGGCCCATGTTCTTGAAACTTGGCTTCCCTTGACGCTTGCTTTTTGGGTGTCCATCACAAGTCCATGATTGAGGTGCTCGTGGTGTTTTTGGTCCGAAGCCCTAAGAATAATATCGGTACCTCCTTTTTTGTTGGCCCCTTGTGAGGTTCCAAGCCCTTATGGAGGGAGGCCTTATGCTGTTTTCCTTTCCAATGGGTTGGGTCCGTTCTGCGGGCGGGAGATGCCTTGCACCGGCGAGGCACCGACGGGCGAGGCCTGAGTCCGGGCGCAGGTCGAAGCTTCTCGTGGGAATGACACCCACAGTTTTCAAGTTGCCCATTTCGGGAAACAAGCCGTGTCAACAACTTGGGGGTGTCCCACAAAAATGGTGCACGTGGTTTTTTTGTTGGATTCCCCAGGTTTAGGATTGAGGGTTCACTTTATACTATATATATATATACATATATATATATATATTGTTGTTTCCCAGACCCACAGCACCCATTTCCACGGACAATGTTGGGGCAGCGAAGGGGGGCGGGTAGCTCTGCCCCCAACACTGCGAGCTTGGCGCACATCCCGAAGTTCCTCCAGCCAAGCTCTTGACCTTTCGCCTGACTGTCTCAGATGGCAGTCGACCTTTTGACTGTCCCTTGGTCCGCTTTTAGTCAAGCCCTAAGCGTCTTGGAATCTCTCAGTTGCCCAAAGCCGACCTTTTTGGACCTTTTGGTTTTCGCGTTTTGGTCCATTTTTAGTCATGGCTCCAAAAGGTTAACCTTTTGTTTCCATGTCTTTTGAGCAACTGAGATCTCAAATATGGGGCGCTTTGGAGGTGCAAACACTTCGGATGATCCCGCCTCCAATGCATCGCAAAAAACACATGTGATGGTTACTTAAAGGGCAGGGGACTTAGTGCTTAGTAAGCCTGGTTATAACCCGCTCAGGAGTCTTGTATCCATTGCAAGTGGGGTATAACCATGCTTAACCACTGACTAAGTACCCTGCCCCCTTTAAGTTATCAGGTCCCAGGTTTGCTCAGCCTGTAATTTTCAGGTCCATACGGAGTGCCCTGAGAAAAGGTGAGCCTTTGCACAGGCCCTTCGCACGCGCCGGTTTTTTAGAGCCCCAAAAAGATGGAAAACGGGGGGGTGAACCCAACACAAAAGGCACGCCCTTTTTGACGTCCCGTTTTCGAGCTCGTTTTGATTCCTTGAAACCAGGCTTCCCCTGGCTTTCCCGGGAGTTCGAAGGTGCCCCTCGATTGCCTCTGGCAACGCCTGGTTGGGGAGCCGTAACTCATTTCAGGTTCTTTGAACTTGGGGCTGCCAGAAGCGTGGCTCGAAGAAACTCAAGGTTGCCCGAGCAGGAAGACGAATAAAACCTTTGGCTTGTCAGACTGCATCTTTTTCAAAAGGACAGAACGTGTCCCAGACCCGTTCAAGATCTCGTGGCCCTGGAATTTCAGAAGAATCATACGTTGGTTGATTCTTGTTTCTGGGTCATGCGGCTTCCAGGGTGTCATCTTCTGAGCCACAATCAAAACCCGAGTAGATGAAGGTTAGCACTGGAAAAAATCCAACCATAAATAGCTGCGGCCGCCTTCTTAATTCTTTCTGGGTCGACCGTTTCATACCGAGCTTTGATTGTGGAACTTCCGGGCAACTCGGGTCGCTCATTCTCTGAGCGTGTTTGAGCCAGGCTTGAGCCAAGCGAAAGGTAAGGCTAGGCCTTTTATTCCTTGGTGGTTCCCAGCCATCCGGTTCCCTAGATTTGTTTGGGTTTCGTTGGGTGTTCCATTTAGCCCACTAAAACTTATTTTTAGAAGGGGATCTAAATTTTAGTGGGCTAAATGGAATACCCAAAGAAACCCTAAAAATCTAGGGAGCCAAACTTTTTAGCAGGCGATCTGAAAACGGACAGATTTGCCAGATTCCCAGGTCCTTCTCGTTGCAAGTGACTTGAGTCTTTTGCCAAAGGCGAGGTGGCCTCGCTGCGCATCCATCGCATCCATCGCAACCACCCGCCGCCGAAAGCCGCACCGTTGCGCGCCAGGGAGATGAGAGAACGACAACTTGTGAGGCCTTCAGTTTGTGTTTCGCCCCAGGTGTCGGTTCCCTTCCACTTAAGAAACCACTAGGAAAGCTAGGAACGCCGAAGCTTGGTTTGGGGGGTCCCACATATCCGTTTGCAGCTCGGCTGCAAAAGAGATTCCTCTTAACACCACGAACGGCTGCCCGGATGAATTTGCCACCGTTCCCAGCTGCTTACCTCAAGCATGGCTTGTTCCGGCGCAAAAGGAACCGCGCTGCAGGTTTCACCTGCAAGCAGGGTGGTGGCAATGATGATGGCTGGTTGGTTTGCGAAACCCCGCCGAGGATGAACTGGGCACAGCATTTTCTCAGTGATCTCGTAGGAAAATGGCATGGCAATACCCGCAAGCCTGCTTGCAACGATCAGGGGCTTGGCCTTAGCACTGAAACGCTCTCGCTTTCTCTCGTCGTCCCCAAGAGCCGCAGATTTTTGGAAGTTCTTGGCCGAGTTGGCAAATTATTTGTTCATCAGCTCAGTCAAAGCAAACAGCAAATTTTCTGCACCCGTCGAGCGATGGCAAGATCGGCAAGTGCTGCTGGCAAAACGCTGGCGACCAAACCCTTCCAACCTGGAGACTCTCGCGGCGGTGATGTCATGGACCTCAAAGGACAGTTGTTCAGTGGCACCATTTCTTTTTCCTTTTTTTGGTGGCTGCTCCACTAAACATGGTCCAAGCCCCAAAAAGGGTTCCCTTTTTTCCAGGGTCACTGAACAACTGAGCCAAAGGACACTTGCTTTGGGACCTTCATTTTACATGTTCGTTCACGGGCCCAACAAATCAGGTAGGAATGAGGATCTTCCAGATATTTATTTTTCTAGGGGTTGATTCCTGTTCCATTCTTTTCAACCATCATTCTTTTCAAACACTTGCTGTTTCCCCTGGGATTTTGATGGTTTCCTGAAAAGAAGGATCCCTGGAAAGAATGGGGAAGGTACCCCTAGAATTTTACATGTTCGTTCACGGGCCAACAAATCAGGTAGGGATGAGGATCTTCCGGATATCATGTTGCGCGGTGTCCGTTCCACTTGGCCGCAGAAGAAGACAATGAGCGATCCGCGTGAAAAGGCTGCTGACCTCTTTGCCATGACATTCGTGACATTTTCTGGCCATGAATTTGAAGGGAAACCAAAGGGCAAACCACCATTTTTGTTGGGGCTTCCCCCTTTTGAGAGCTACGGAGAGGCCATCTCTGGGCAGATCTGAAGGGCTAAAGATAGACCATGCACAAAGGCCCACATGATGGCTCGATGAGGCGCTAATCGGACAGTTAGATATTCAAAATGCTTGAGGATTTTGTTCGTGGCCAAGCACATCTTCCGGACATTGACAGAAATGATCACGCCTCGCACACGACATGCTAAAAGCCAGCCCAGGCGGTATCCCCAACAGCCACGGAAATTCCTTTTAACCCTGCGGTTTTCCTCCCTGAAAGCTGCCCCAAGCCACCCCGTATCGCCTATCTGGGCGTCCTGGATCTCTAGTTGACTGTCATGTTTCTTATTTTTTCCTCGCGGAACTTGGCTCCCAGCTGGGAGCTCGGCTGGCTCACACAGGCGGGGGGGGGGGTGGACCTGGCGCAAAAAAATCGCAGGTGGTTTCACACCCTGCAAGAACTTCGCACCTTGCAGGAAATCAACAGCTACCTGGAGTCTCCATGACCCCATTTTGGGTAATGACCAACCATTTTTGAAAGGTTATGGAGACTCCAGCTACAGTGTTTTCAGCTTTCCCAAATGAAACCTAAATTTCGGATTGGTTTCGGCGAGTTTGGTATTCGTGTCATGTTTCCAAAACCGCTACCTAACACACCTGGGGGTCCACAAATATGGCATGTCTGAGCTGAGTGCGGCAACAACAAGAGAAACCGAGTCTGGACCCTCCAAAAGGGACCAACAAGCTTTAGGAGTCTGATTTGGGGGCAGATACCCTCCCTCACATTGGCATGGTCTACCTCCACAAGGAGAGTGTTCTTCCAGACCTAGGTCCTAGGTGCTTTTGTCAGGTGCTATGTTAGTGGGGGGTAGGGTCCCCTTGTTCCGACAATTATGGCAGTGGACAGGGGGCGTCCCAAAAGAAAACCTTTCGTCTTCCAAAGCCCTTTGATCGTCAGCTTTCAGGCAGTGTATTTATCATTTTTGGGGAAGCGTCGTGTCACAAGATCCTTCCCAACATACTCCATCATCTTCTGGTTGTTCAATCAACACCTTCTGGAAGATATCCGTTTTGTGCATATGTTCCTGTTGTCAGGGAAACGTGTAAAGATCAGAGTTGGGGCTTACACCCTTTTACTTGTCTCCACAGGAAGACGCACACCATCTTCGCGTGTCCAACAACTTACCGCTCCCTTTTGCGGGCTATAGGAAACAGGATCACGACCAGAGGTTAGGAAACCTGTCTGACATGTGCCCATGTGGGCCATTGTCAACACACCATTTTTTGGGGAGGCATGACCCACAGGAGATCTGGCCCTGGCATTTATACCCGTGTACTGTATACGGTATACCCTTATTATACTGTTTTTTTTTCACCTAGTGCCCCGAGTTTCAAGGAGATATACGAGGTTCCATTCAAGTTACGAGTAGCCCATGGTGGTGGTTGGGAAGCGCATGGTGGGACTCCCTACATTTCCGCTCACAGAGGGACGAGACCCAAGGTGAGTTTCAAGGTATTGGTCATGCCATTCAGCCAGGCTTCCTTTGTCAGTGTCCAACGGCAGTCTTTTTTCCGGGTCATGATTTCGACTCTCCCTTGGGATATGGAAGTTTCCCCTTTCTTTTGGGGGAAAGGACATTCCTTTAAAGGGGTACCCTCCCATCTGCAATCATGGAACCTCACAAGGGGGGTCCTGGAACACTATCTCCTTTGAAAGGGACCCCTGCCGGTTTCTGGGGGTTGTCAAAGTTGGCATCCGGGGATGCGCTTAGCGGCGACTTGCCGCTTCAGGGGTGGCTTTTGGTAAAGAAATGGGTGTGGCTAAGAATTGCCGAGGGTTACGCAGGTGTTTGTCTTTGGTTCCAAAAAGTCTTCGGATTGGATATCTGGTTCACAAGTTGCACCAGGCAAGGTGCTGACAGTGGTCATTGCTTCCAGACAAATGTTGACCCCATGGCCTATATGAAGTTTATGAACGGGTGGGGTGTCCCCTCCAACAGTGACGGTTCCCTACTAAGCCCAGAGACACCCCCTATTCATCAACTGGGGTTGATTAGTATCGTTAGTATGGGGTCAGCATTGTGCCAAACTCACCGAGCTCTGAGAAAAACGAGGCCAAAGCCGAGCACGGGATTCCTGACTGAGGAGTGAGTGTTCCAGACTCACTTCCTGAGTTCATGAACTTTAAACTTTTTGGGAAGACCATTTTGGTGGTAATTATAAAGTTTGAACCTTTTTTGGGCCAGCCACTCAGCCAGTGAGGGTCCAGCAACAAGTCATTGTTGCTTGTTGCTTGAAAGGGGATCGAGTTTGCCTCGATATGATTCAGCGATGTGGACCATGCCTCAGGACCTCAGGATCGGGCGGACAATGCCGGCTGTAAGGTGCAGGATAGGTTTAGGATTGTGTGTTTTCAGGTTCCCTGTCTTTTTGTTTTTCTCTCTCTCTCTCTTCTCTATTCTCTTCTCTTCTCTTCTCTTCTCTTCTCTTCTCTTCTCTTCTCTTCTCTCCTTTTCTATCTCTCTCTCTCTCTCTCTGTCTCTCTCTCTCTCTCTGTCTCTCTCTTCTATCTCTGTCTCTTTCTCTCTCCGTGTTCGTCTGGTTGTGGATGATCAATTCGCGAGGGTTTTCCTTCCTTCCTTGGAAGAACCTGGGAGTAGCAAGCGTGGTATTTGCCTGTCAGGCCTGCTGTGCAAGAACCATGGAGGCAGGGCTCGTGGTTGGGTGCCCACCCTGAGAATAAAATAGTCCATTTAACTTGCTTAAGAAAGTGTTTTTGTGTTTAAAGGAAATCACTACTGGATTTTGCTAGGAATTCCACATATTTGCTGTTTGTTGGTACGGATCGCACAGCAATTCCCGCGCGGACGGCAAACGGATCGATAGCTCGGGAGGTGAAACGGAGTCAAGCCGGCGGGAAGTCCCGGACTGTTTGTCCGGCCCAAAATTGACCTTAGTTACCCTTTTTTGGGGGAGCAAACATGGAGTGGACAGGGACTTGTGGAACGAGGAGGTGATGCTCTGTGAGATACTCATATCCCTCAAATGGCTTTGGTGTGCCTTTTGGTTCCCTTGTAGCACCAACAAGAGGGTCCCCCCCCCACAAAAAAAAGGCACACCGTACCTGTCCTTTGCAACATTACCCCACCGACAAATGCACTTTTACAGGCCACACTAGGCGATGAAACCAACCAAACAGGTACATGTGAGGACCTCTCTTAACGCACGGAACACGGGCAGACGGCTTTGATCTTGGATCGCCGAATTAGCACTCGGAAGTCGGGCATGATTCTCCACTATCGAGTGTCCGGGAAGCCATGCACGTGGGCGTGTCCAGCTTTGGTCGGTTTTAAAGGGATACCACGAAGCAGTGGAGGGCGGCATGTAAACCTGGCGACTGGTAGAGTGGCGCTCAGCTTCTTGGTGTTCTGGGTAGAGGATTCTAATCCCGATCGGTATTGATTTTGACTCACATGACTTACCAGACACATGTCTGAACCGCTTGGGTATGGGTCAAAAATAAGCCACCTGGATATGGACCGCAGGTGTTCGTCCTTGATTCCATTTACCGATCAGGCAACCCGTTTTGGACACCTATTTTTGACCCACAGGCATGTAATTATGAGATATATCTGAATAGAATCCGGATTCAAAGGATGGCTTGTCCCCAAACAGTTTGTTACTTGGGTTCTATGTCACTTGTCGGGGCAGATATCGTTCCCCTTTTTATGACCCACACCGATTTTGGTTCCAACTCAACTTCGAACAACAACTCTCGCAACTTAGGGCAGCACAGCGGATCCTGCCGCCTTTGGCATGCCGGGATGCCAAGATCGAGACCTGCGGCATTTTTGTTTCCCCCCGATGAATCCTTTGGTTAGTACCTGGAGCCTCAAATTTTAGAAGGTTTGATCCAGGCTGGAGGGGTCCAGGTACGGAAAACGGTTAAAGGGAAGTCAGGAAACCAGCCATGGTCCCCAAAAATTGAGAACACACACCCACTTGGGGGTTTTCGACGAAAGGGGCAAGCTCGACCCCGGGAATTGATGGAGTTGCTCGTAGTTTAACGCTGGCTCAGTCGCAGTCTCCTGTGGATTGCGACACATGGGACACGTTGGCCTGGGCTGTGCAATGGGACCAGCGGATGTGTTGTTCTCATGATCGTCAGCTTGTTATGGACCACTTGCGGTACACTGGGCCCCGAGATGGCATATAGGCATATAGCTGATCAGGGCGCTGCCTTCCTGAGAACAGCACGTGAGTGTCTATGTCTTCCGCGTCCCAACCAATTCAGCCCGAGTCCTAGGCACTAAGCGGTCCCTGCCCAAGGAAAGGCCTTGCGCGTGAAGTACTTCAAACTCGTGTTTGTTTCGAGAAAGCAATCATTAATAGAACACGAGCTAGGGCTGAACCTCAAAGTGACCAATCCACACGGGTTGATAAGTTGTATTAGGTCCTTTGCATTTGTTTCATGCTAGCTCGATTATCATACCCTTGGGATAGGGTCTAAACCTGATCAATCCATAAGCGAGAGCGCCACATCCCAGTGGATTGGCGAGAAATGGAAGCCACCCCCAATCCCAATAGGGCGCTAGCAACCAACAAGCCCGTTTGGGGCTAGGGTTCCTTTTGGAGACCCGTGTTGTGGGGGTCCAATTCCTTGGGCTGCCCGCAAATGGATTCCTTCTATGCCTATGGTGCTCCAAGACAGGGGTCCTTGAGCAACCCACGCCCAACTTATACGAGATGTGCGGGGAATCCGGGAATCCTTGCGCTCGGACGTGTATCTTGTTGTTCTCAAACCCAAACTTGGAATCCATTTCCAAGTTTGACTTCTTGGATGCTTCCTGAAACTTTGCAACAACCTTTTCCAACAACTACACAACTACTGAAAGATGTCGCTGCTTGCGGGTCTCAGGTTGGTTTGTGTCCTTGTGGCGTTCCTTCAAGACACGTCTTCCATTTCAAGAGCACCCCCTGAGTGCCGGAAACCTCTATCCGGTGGTACTTGGTTTCATGGAGGTACTAGGAATCTGGAAGGCCTCTTTATTGGCGTGTGTCTAAAGGGGAGCCCCCAAAACGGTTAACAGTGTTCTTGTTAGTTTCTCTTATTTAAAGCATTCAAAACCACGGAAAAGGTATCTACCAACTCCCAAACAAACATTCAAAGCCAAAAACACAAGTACCAACTCCAAAACAGACATTCAAAACCAAAAACAAAGTACCAACTCCAAAACAAACATTCAAAACCAAGAAAGGAAAAGGGTACCAACTCTCCAACAAGACACAGCCGTACACTTTTTCGTGACCTTGTAGAACCCAACCGTCCGCTCGGGTTTTTTTGGTCTCTCGTAAATCTCGATCCAGGTCCTCGCTGCCAGAGCAGCATGAGGAGCTCTCGGTCGGGTGACGCCGACCTTAGCTTGACTGCTGTTGGGTTGGATCTTTAGACTTTTTTTTTTTTGGGGGGGGGGAAATAAAGGTGTTTTCCATTAACCCCCCAAAACGTTAAACCTTTTTGCAGGGGGGTAAAAAGCAACCAAGTTAGCCGGGGCTTGGAACGTCTGGATGGCTCGACTTTTTTGGAAGGTGCCCTTGGCGTCATTTGACAGGGAAACGAAGGAGAACCGTTGGACCGCCATTTTGCGGACCTGGTTTCAATCCTTAGAAGAGAAACTCAAAAAGAATTTGGAGAGATAGTGGGGGATTTTTAGGAATTTGAAGAGGGGTGGAGCATTGAGGGCGCAGTGGGTCCAAGAATCAACCACCAAACTTGATTCTTGACCTCGGGGAACCCCCAAAAATGGTTGGTTTCCTTCCGGTTTCGCTTGAAACCAACCAAAAGGGCACCCTTGAAAAAAGACAAGCCACCCATTTGGTTTGGTCCAATCGCACACACACACACACAAACATCGGGGGTCGAAACAACACGAGAGCGGGTGCCCATGGCAAGGCGAACGTTTGCTGGTTTTCAACATCACCTTGGTGGGGTGGTGGCATGTTAAAGTCGGATTCATAAGCCTTCCCTCCCCAGGTCAAACCTCGGATTAGCTGAGTTCCGGGAGAGAAGCTGGAAGATAGAACCAGTTTGAACCGAGCTGGAATTGACATTAAACGATGTTCTGTGCGGGAGCATGGTTCTTCCGAACGTGGCTTACGAAAAAGTGGTCCCGGAGGCCCGCGTCGTCTTGAATTATTTTGGATTGGATCCCGACAACGCGCGTGGTCGGTGGTATTGGTTAATCCAATGTGAATATCAACATTACTGGGAACCCGGATGAATAACCCCCCTGGGTGATTTATAGGGGGGTGTCCCTTTGTATTCCGGGTTCATCACTTCTGGAGGGGGGACAGCCCCTAGTAATGAAACCGGTTTATGAATTTATTCATCCGGGGTCCTGTCGGAGGATCAGTTGGCGCTGGGCTTCCGAATGATTCAGAATGCCTACAACAGCAAGGCTGGGCATCGGCTTTGCGGAGCCTCAAGCCTGCTGAAGGCATAAGAGCTACGAGTAAATTGAATCGTATCTTTACAGCAATTTTGGTTGGATCTTTGGACTTTAACTTTGGGGGAAACGGGTGGGATTTTCCATTGCCGGTTGCTTCGTGGTGCCTAAAAAAACAATGCGGAAGGGTTCCCCTTTAAAGTCAACCAACCAAAAAAGGATGTGTGGCCACTGGGCATCTGAGCATTGGACCCCCAAAAAAGTAAAACTTTTTGCAGAGACAAACAGTAACCAAGAAATGTAATCCGCTTGTTGGTGTTTAAGTTTAGTGCAGGCTTGGCCGGGCTGGTCGGCTCAGGAGACAAGTCCACCTTTAAAGAAATATATGGGCGGTTTTGCTTTGGGCGCAAAGGTTTGTTATGAGTGTTACGTGGTTGTGTGTGTTTCGTGCCAAATGGCGGTTCATTTGTTTTGTTGCAGTCAGATGCCACGTGATTGGAGCTGGGTAGCTTTTCTTTTTGCCGACGGCCTTTTCCTGTGAGGACTCGTGAGCGTCTAAGTGAGGGCTTCTAGCTGAAGGGTGTGTAGTTATTTGAAAGTTAAGGTTGATAGTATGGGTATGTTGTTTTGTTGGACCCAAGGTGAGAATGCCATGAACTAGTGCCATGGAATGGACATCAACCACTTTGGAAGAAACCGGCATCCGTTTTCCAGAACCACAGCATGGTGAGCCAATTCTGATTTCAGGTAGCCCTTGGTGGTTAGGATTGCGTGGTTTGGGTAACAAGAACCCCGGAACAGCTCCAAACCGGCTCATTCGCCAAGAGAGAAGCTGAATTCGGCGCATTCGATGGATGTCCCGCAGTCCGAAATCCGGTTCGGAAGTGCGCGTCTAGCCCAACATTGAGCCGTAGGGTCGTGGAAGGCCAAAGGAGTTGCTATCTCCTTCAGACCAGGACAGTGAGCCCCTGATTTTTTAGGAAAGCAACAGGAAGTTGCTACAACAGTTAACCCCTCTTCTCCTTCAAAGGGGCTTGGCCGCTATTTGGCTGGAAATCTTCGGTTTTGACTGTTTGGCATGCGTTTTACTGGCAAACAACGGAGTTCCTTTCACTTTTTATGCGCTAAGCATCAAAGTTCACCTTCCTTGGTGGTGGATTGACCCTAAAAAGGGCACGTTTTCCATGCTTCAAAGGAACTATAATAGCAGGGCTCCTGAAAAGATACATTTTGCCCATTTCAAACATGGCATTTTGCACCAACATAAAGGGAAACCACCATTTACAAGGCAATGTTCAGGTGTATAATATAAGGATCCCAGTTGTGGTTGACTGTGTGCGCGCTTGCTCTTGGCTTGTTTCAAGGTGAGGCAAGAAACATGTTTCAATGGTGCGAGTTTCCAGTGTTATTCTCCGTGGTCTCCATATGTAATTTCCTGTGTATGGCCAAGTTCCAGACAGTTCCCCGCGCGGTTTGGTTTGCGGAGAGCAATTCAATACCTGACCTAGGGCCACTTCAGTTTGGTCAGTTGATCCAGGTGTTCGAATCAGCTTGTAAACCTAACGTTGGATGAATGTAGACACAAGCCCTCCCCATGTTGGCTCAAAAAAGTCACATACCCACTAAAAGGGACTTATGCCATCTATATACTTTCATTGCCCCAAGCTATGAGATTTGGACAAGCCCATTCACGACAAAGCAAGGCGGCAGTCAGGTGCAGACCCTGGAGCAAGAGCTCAGGGGCCTTCGCCTGAGTTATGAGGAGACAGTTCCCGCTCGCTGCATTTATGAAGCGAGAAAGTTCTGCAGCCTGGGGCCTCCATGACCCTTAAAAGGGGTCATGACCCCTTAGCTTTGAGTAACGACCCCATGTCTGAATTCCTCGGTTTTCTTCGCTTCGTGTTTCAGGCCGAAAGTCGGGGCTTCTCTTTCAGGCTTTGGCAGCCCTGCGGCCATGCAATGTCCGTTTTGTTGCCTTGCTTCATTGCCCGACTTCCACAAATCCTCTTTGAATTTAGACTTGGGTACATGTTGGCCAAAAGCCAAGTTGACCAGGGTTTCTACGAATACCAGGTGATTTTCAGGTTCATGCTTCAAGGGATGCGGTGTTCCTTCATGTCCCTTTCAACCAGCAAGACATATCTATGTGTGTTTGTGTTTGTGTGACGTGGTTCGCCCGGTCGTTTTTGTTCCCCCAAACGCACATGAGCAAGTGTCAGCATTATGCATCATCTGTTGGCACTCGAATTATCATTAGGACATGGAGAGTGCTCACCAATATCCCGTATCATGTGGGACACAATGACTTGATGGGTATGGGTCAGAGTTAAGCCATCAGGGGACGGTCCATGTTTCCATCCAGGGCAACCCATGCTGGGTACATATTTGTGACCAGCAGCCATCTATGAGTTATATATGAATGGAAGCAAGTTTCAATTGATGGCTTGGCCCCAATGATTAGACAACGTAATTTGGACATGTATTTGATTACCGAAGCTACTATATTTGGAGAAGTTGATATTTGTGTCCAATGTTTGAGAATCTAGGTCCCCCAGTAGTGCCCCTTTTACCCCTTTTTTTGGGAGGAAACCCCTACTAAAATGGTCCCCTTATTCTCACCTCTCCACTGGAGGTAGGAATAGAAGCCAAAGAATAGCAGCTTGTCCCCTAACAGTCTATCCGTTTTGTTACTTGGGTTCCATACTGTGGATGGTTGCGAACTCCATTTCGCACCACCCTCAGAATCCCCTGACGTCTGATTCGATTCCCAACTGCAAAGACCTGCAAGCAATCAGGCGCCGCTCTGAAGGCCCGTATGCACTGACCAGTTGGCCACTGACCATGCTGTCCTTTTAGGTTCTGTATCAAGGGTCCATATTCTAGATACATAATACACACCGTATATGTTTTTTTTGGCTTTGCTTTACAAAAAAAACACGTGTTTTTGTGGTTTATTTCTTTGTGTATTTTCGGGGCTGGGGAGATATGTGGCACCTGGAGTTGTCCATACACTCAGCCTTGCAAGTAGCAGTTTTGGACGTAGAAATGGATCCAGCATGCACGTTCCGAATCTCAGCGCCGAGACTCTGCAACCAGCGATGCACAAATATGTCTTTGGAGCATCAAATTCGATCCTTCTGTTGAAGGGGTATGGCCGCAAATCCTAGAAGAAGTGCAGCTAATGGTTGTCAAGGGTGGCCGGAAAGGGCTCAAGCGCCAAAGGATGGGTTACAGGAAAGTTTCTACCAAGTACTCAAACAGGGCGGTTTCCTTTTGGTTTCCCTTTTTAAGACCCAACCAGAAGCCAGTACCTCAAAGAAAGACAGGCCCAAACATTTCTCCGGAGCCTCGAATTGGACCCCGTTCTAGTGCTCATTAAGTGGTGGTTTGGATTTTTGGTTTGGGGTAGCAAGAACCCCTGGTGCTTGTAGAAGATAAACGTGAAACCACCCTCGAACCTCGAAACCACCAATCCAAGCCACCAATTGAGCCACAATCAAAACCCGGGTAGATGAAGGTTAGTAAGGGACAATCCCAACCATAAATAGCTGCGGCCGCCTTCTTAATTCCTTGCATGGTTCTGGGTCGACCACTTTAATACCGGGTTTTGATTATGACTCAACTAAAGGGAAGCTGATACTTGGAGAGTTTCTCACATCCCCCAACCACAAAAGATGGTTGTAGTAGCAACCTTGCAAGGAGCAGAAGAACCAGGCCAGCAGCCTGCAGCGGAAAAACTCGGCGCTGGAGGCGTCGAGGGAAGCCGAAGAAATTTCAGCTATGGTCTTGGCCGCTATGTGGATATGTCTTTAGACTTTAGTTCTTGGGGCAAGGATTATGTTTCCACTAAGCAACACAACCAAAAGCACCCCCCCCCCCACCTCCCCACCTCCCCGCCGCCTCACGTCCTCACCTGCCCCCCCAACCTCCCCGCAATGAGCAATCGAGTGACATGAAACTGTCGCCCTTGCCACTACAGTCGGTCGCCAGATTTTGTGCATGATGGTTTCTACGTACAAAAGTCATGACTGGAAGCAATGGGAAGGGGGGTTAAGTTGTGTGGTCTTTGAAGATGAGGTGAAGCCTTGTGTTTGTTTAGATCTTACTCGCCAAGCCAGGATGGATCTAAAAAAACAGCCCCAAGGAAAAGCCACGGGCTATGCACATATTCTAGGTCCCCCAGTAGGGCCCTTTTACCTTTTTCGGGGGAGGGTTCCCCTGCCAAAAAAAGACTACAGAAAAAATATCGGGTACCCTTATTCTATCCTCTCTACTGGACCTAGTATTGCCTCGTGACCGGAATTGGACGTCTTTTCAATTCGATTTTGGTGGGAGTCTGGCATCCCGCAAGTCAATTCCAGAGGCGTTAGTCATGGAACTCAGACAACCTTTGGAGTTTGAGTGGACGCTTTTGGTAGGACGCCCTCAGGTTGCCTCCAAGAGCTTGTAGGAAAAACGTGCACGCAAACGTGAAAGGCACAATTCCGGCCAAGGGGGACACCAAAATGGCCAAGTGTGCCCTTTTTTCTTTCCAAGACATGGTTTTTCCTAGGCAAGCACTAAGCATCACTGGACTCCACTGAGGGTTTGATCGGGGTCTCCATAAGGGCAGTCCTTAAGGCGCTAAGGCGCCGCTCGATTCTGGTGGTTCACTTGGTTACCCCCAAGGGTTCAACCAATTTCAATTAAAAAGAATGGCCCAAGGGGGCCCAATTTGGATGACAATCCTGAAGGGTAAACAACAGTGGTTTAACCTCAGGGTATGTTGGAGACAACCCCAAATCCTTTGCTTCCATCGAAGCGGGTTCCCTTTTCCCTTGGTTACGGGTCTACTGAAAGCCTCACTCCCCGAGTTCGAGTTCCTGAGCTCTAGTATCACTTTTTGGCTTGGACCAGTTTAGTGGTAAATAAAAGTTTGGTTCCTTTTTTTTGGGACATTCACTCAGGAAGTGAGCTATAGGGAAAACATGGGGCACATGACGAAACAGCACGTGGCGGTGATATTTATGAAAGTTGTTGTTAATGGCTGATATCTACCCAAAAAAAGGTGGAAAAATGGATCCACGGTACCTTTGGTGCATTTTGCCAAGGGATGTTAGGACTTCAACTGTTTGCTAACTTTTGGGGTTTTTTCCTTTTGTTTTTTGTTTTTAAACTTAAAAAAAAAGCAGGGGATCCGAGTTAGCAACCAAGATACCTTCGCAGGTTTTACTCTTTGAGGTTAGATCTTGGCGGATTGTTTTTCTTCTTTTTCATCACCCCCCCCCCCAAATCCTTCCTGGGTATGGCTCCTCAAAGAAGTTGGGTTGGAATCAACCCCAAAAGAACAGAAGGATATAATTCCCGTGTTTTCCCCTGGTTTCCCCTGGTTTCCCCTGGTTTTCCCCGGGTTTTCCCTACAAACCCACCCCTAAAAACCGGGGTACCCTGGAGTCTCCACCGTGCTTTTCAGGTGGAGCTCGTGGAAGGCCACCAGAAGGCGCCTCGCGTGGGGTTTCGCCCGTTGTCTGCCCGTTTTCTCCGGGGGAGATGTTCGGTTTTCCCTTTAAGGGAAGCCACAGAAATTGTGGTAGGGGTCACTTTTTTCCTTCCCCCAGAAAAGCCCACTGCCTGGACCCTCAAACTACCCATAAGAATGGGAGATCACCCACCATAATTTGGGGGGTCAAACCCAGTTTTCAGTTGGAATTTTGAGGGTTCAGGTGGTGGTTTTCCTGGGTTCATTCCCTTATTCCGTGGGTGCAATACTAGGTCCCCCAGCTGGGTGCTCTTGTCTCTCGTTTCTTTTTTGGGGGGAGATTCGGTTCGGGACCCTAAAGAGACGAATCGGAACAAATCTCGTTGGTACCAACTTCTTCTAACCTCTCGAACTGGAGGACCGAGTAGGTGCTGGCTGGTCAAAATTAAACAGGGACCGCAGATCTTAGCCCATACTGTGGACGGACGAAATCCTCTTAGGCACCACCTAAGAAACCCGGGTGTCTGCTGCTTCCCCTGTAAATACCAACAAACAATCATTTCATCATGATTTCCATGTGGTGCGAAATGGATTTCGGGTTGAATTTTGGGTACCCATTTTTCACCCGCCAGCTGGCCCGAGTCCCGGAAGGAGAGCGTCTGGGTTCTTCACCCAGCGTTCCAGCGAGTTGGGGTCCCCCAAAACAAGAATTCCGGCAAGCCTTCGGCGCATTTTTGCCAACGCGGAACGGGGAACTTTCGGAAATTTATGGTGGAAGACAAGAAGGCAAGCTGTTCCGCCATTTTCGGAGCAAACAGAAAACACACCCAGTTGTGTTGCTTGACTGGTTTTGTGTGTAAGCATGGTTACAAGCTCTTAGTTGAAATTGGTGTTGCTTGTCCAGTTTTGCCTGTTGGTTTCAGGGACATGGCGGCTGGCAGAAGAAATTGTGGAACGCGCCCTTGCGTGGCAGCTTCAGGAAATGCTAGGAATAAGAAGGCAAACGGCTGGGTGCAATCTTGTCAAATACGCTATTTTGGTCTTCACGTACCACACCTGTACTAACAAGTTGTGCTTTGGAGTTTGACCGTACACGTAACACACTGTAAAACAATGTCGTGTTAAACAACTGAAAGCCCAGCGGCCAGTGAACAGAAGCGGTCTATAGTCGCGATCCCTGAAGATGAACCTTTGATTTCCAGTTGCTTTGACTGGAAGCGAGTGCGTGTGTTGGTGGGAAATGGACAGCTTCTCTTGGCATCTGAACATGGAATTTATGTCCAATGTTTGATCAGCCGAGTGAATTAGACCTGCATTGAATTTCGCTGGGCTCCAACATCTCATTGAGGGTGTTTGAGGGACACCGCGATGTTGCCCAAAGTCAGTCGTCACAATATCTAGGTTTTCCCATGCTATGCTCAATACCATCTGTTTGTCACGCACTGGGCCAATACACCACTACATGAAAATTGACGACAAAGTAATGGCCAGGGTGTTTCGAACCACCAGTTTTCAGTGTATTACATTTGTATATATATATATATATATATGGGCAATAATGGGTGTGTCCTTTTTGGAGGGTACCTCTGTTGGAGTGGTTGAAGGGAAACCACAAGGAGAACCACCATTTTGGGGGGTCGCCTCAAAACAGACACGCCTTCATGCGTGTGTGTGTATACATATCTATATATGTGCTTGTGATAGTGTCTGTTTGTGTGTCCAGGCGCGTGTGCGCTTTAATTTTGCTTTTTCTCCCCCTTATGTGTCTCTTCATCTTTGAGCCCCTTCTGTTAGGCTCTTTTGAGCCCCTTTTTAAGCATCAATCGCACAATCCATCGATTCATAGCTATTGAATCTCAATAGGAAGCCCCTTGAAAGTGACCGCATCCCAGAAATGGTGTCCACCAAAGTCTCCCTTGGACATCTGGTCTCCAAGCAGGTGTCAGGACTTTTTGGCGGTCCTTTTCTTCTTCCCTTCCAACTGGCCAGACAAAAGCTGCGGTTCTTGCAGGCCCCTTTCCTAGAATCCTTCATAAGCCAGGCTTGCGTGCGGTCAGTTTTGCACCCGGGAAGCCTTGTCATTAGCTCAAACGAGCGCGGAATGGACCATCCCACGCCTGCGACGCAAAACGCACTGGTGAATTCGTTCCGCGGGTGACCCGCAGTATCACGAAGCATAAAGCTCGCCTTTTTCTGGCCCGTTTTCGCCATGCTTCTCGGGCTCCGTTTCCCAAAATCAGGAGGGACATTGACCGTCCCATGCCTGCTTTATTTGTATTTGGATTTGAGTCCCTAACTCAAACCACCAATCCAAATCGCCCAGTCTTGGCAAGGTGATACACTGGCAGCCGGGTGTCCTTGAAACATCAAACAACAGGACTTGTCCGGATCCAAACCGGGGAATTTTGATGGCACAGCTTTAGCTGGGTTTTCTTCTCTTTGCCAGGAAAACCATCTATTTCTAACCAACGGGGCGCCTATGCTAGGTTTCCCAGTAGTGCCCTTTTACCTTTATTTTGGGGAGGGTTCCCCGCACAAAAGAAATCGGGTCCCCTTATACCAACCTCTCTACTGGAGGACCTAGTATGCCAAAGCAGGGCCTTTTTTGTACGTACGGTTTCTCCTTCGCAGGCGCAGCAGCTCTCCGAGGAGAACAAGGAGCTCTTTAAGACAGCCCGGGATCCCATCCGTTCAACTTTGTTTTGCATTCTGTTCTTCTTCCAGCACCCCCGGCACACCCAGCAAACATCCAAGATCTCACATGCTGAGCCAACTTTTCTTTGCATTCTTTTCGTTTTCCAGCCGTGAGAGCACATCTACCTGGACCCTCAAACTACCCATAAAAATGGGAGATCACCAACCATCATTTTGGGGGGCAAACCCATTTTTCAGTTGGAATTTTGAGGGTTCAGGTACGGTTTGGGGTTTCCTCTTGGGGTGAGGCCCTTCTCTCGGACTAGCCTTTCTTCAGGCCCGGGAGGTCTGGCAGCCGGAAGCTCCCCCCATTGGCCTTGGCCAAATTCTTGGAGCTTCCATGTTGGCTTGGGGGAGGCTAAGAAGCCACTTTTGGATGGGTTCCTCTTGGTGCTTGTTTTTGTTTGTTTGCTTCCTATTTTTTAAACATCCTGAGGCAACTTGTTTTGTTTTTTTTGTTTGCGAGCCATCCGAGAGTCACAGCTGAAAGTCGATCGCCAATCGGCCAATTCACTGGATTCCCTCATGAAGCACGTGTTTCGACGCCTTTTTCAATGTCCACATGGGCCTTCAACAAGGTTGCCGGGTGCGTCTTTTTGTTCGGGGGGCGGGAGGGGGGGGGGGGGGGTACCTCTTTTCTTTTGGGACGGCTTTAAAAGCAAACCAAATGGACAACGACCATTCAGATTCAGGGGGATCCATATTATTGCCTTGAGCGTAAGCACAATAAATTTCCCCTCTTGCACGTTGCCCAAGGCCAACCTTTTAAGCTTTTGGTTTCGCAGAGTTTGTCCATGTTTTGTCAAGGTTCCAATTGTTGAATCTGTTATTTCCAGGTCTGGTTGCAAGAGAGAATCAACCAACGGGTTATGTCCTTTTCCCCAGATAGTGGAAAGCTATCAGGGTTCTTATTTCCAGGTCCTCGAGTTGCAAGTGAGCTTACCCAAGTCCAACAATTTGTTTGGTCCACATCCAAGACGAGCCATGAGGTCAAAAGTTCCAATTGTTTCACCTTTTTATGTCCATAGTTGCTTAAGGGTTTGCTTACCCAGACTCCACATAGACCTCACTTCCTGAGTTCAACTTTTTTGGAAAAACCGTCTTTGTGGCCAATCCACTCAAGTGAGAGACCAATTCTTCGGGTTTGCGTGCACAAATCCAAAAGTCTAGGGGTAACTTCCCCATTCTTTCCAGGGATCCTTTCTAGAAAACCGCCAAAGACCCTGGTGAAATGGCGATCGGTTTTTGAAAAGAACGATGGCTGAAAAGAATGGGGCAAAGGAAAATCAACCCCTAGATTGCCTGTAGTTACATTCCAGGGAATCCCATTTAACATGGAAACAACCACTAGAATCATCAACCAAAAGACCCCCAAGACAAAGAAGTAACAAAAGAAACAGCCAGCCGGGCAAGGTCACCAGGTCCAAGCGGAGCCGAGCGCTTCGAGCGCTTCGTTCGGTTTCGCTGAGGTGCAGCAGTTGCGGCGACAGCTCCAGCGCCTGGAGGGCCTTAAGAAGCGCGCTGGGGGCCCCCAGACCTTAGGGCGGATGCCATACGGTTGCAAACAAACTGGCCAGGTGTGTGTTCTGTTTTTTTTTTTTTTTTTTGGGGGGGGGGGTCTTTTTTTATTGTTTTCCCGGCTTTTTTTTTTTATTTCTGGGGTTTTCGTGGTAGATGGGCATAGCGTTGAGAGTTTCTTGGAGAACGCCATCGAAAAGGGGTGGTTTTGATTGGGTGGCGACCGTGGGCTTGCTCAAATGGAGAGTTTACTCTTGGTTTCCCTCTAAACCAACCTCAACAAGGGTACCCTTCAAAAGCAAAGCAACCTGTAGCGGAAGTTCTCAGCCAAGGGTCGAGGGAGGCAAGTTCTGAGTCACCACCAGATGGTGTTTCTCCAAATTGGGGCCATCGCAATCCCGACGGTTTCCTTTTAAGGCTTCTCGTCGCAAGAAAGCCCCAATTGTCTTGGCCATCCGACTTTTTTTGCCAACACTTACGTTTGATAAGTGACTCACCTTGATTGGCAGCGAATCAACCTCAGTTGCAACCCACTCGGTTTAACCCCACTAGCGGATTGTAGCCGAAGTTGAACCATGGTTTGCCTTTTCTTCTGTTTGTGGATAAATCAGCAGCCCCCCTGGTAGTGCAGAAACCCTTCGCAAGGGAGGCTGTGCATTTCAGTGGAAAAGGCAACCCCTGTAGCCGAAGTGTTACTAACGTGCCCAATCGAACAGCTGCTCCGGGGCACTCTGCCCACACGCAGAAACAGTGACTTTACGGCTGGTGGGATCTTTAGACCTTTTGCTTCTTGGGGAACAGTGGGGTTTTCGAATTGTAGTCACAAAAACTTAAACTTGCAGAAGGGTCAACAGCAACCAAGGTGAATCATGCATTGATGAACTTCGGAGAAATCCAATCGACCATACTACTCACAGGAACACCAGAACAAACCTTTTTTGGCCACCCCACCCCTGATAATGTTACATGTAGATATGTAGATGGTCCACCGGATCAGTCCCTGGCGCTTTGCACAATTCCCCAACCTGGCGTTTCCGCAGCGCTTTGGCCATGTTGGCCATGTTCATGCTGGGAACCTGGCAGCAGATGATGACTGCAAGATGGTACCCGACCCAGTGCCAGCGTAGCCTGACGGGTGCCAGCGTGAACATGCGTATTTGGGCGATGCATCCCGATTTCACACAAAGGCAAGAAGCATATTGCAGCAAAGGCTATGCTCAATCCCTGGCGCGTAGCGCAGATCTAGATCTAGAGCAGCACCATCATGTCGACACATGGCGCACGTTTGCTGCTACTCACGTATTTGACTCGATCGATGTGCATTGTATGCTGGTCATGCATGCATGTATCATGAATGTATGCCATCGCATGAGCCGCACTTTTCACTGGTATGTGCCAAGGTAACCTCCATGGGTTGATTGCAATATATCATATCCCCTAAGGTTCAACCCCGATCAACATAATGGTTGTCCCAATTGGGATGAGGATAAACTTGAGGTACAGGTTATGCTTACCTAACCTTTGTTTCAATGGTGGTTTGAACCCCACGGTATATATATATATATACATGTTTATATGTCTACATATATATTGTGCTTGCTTACATATAGCGCAGCTTAGGGAGGTGGAGGCTGCCTTGTCACATGCCTTTGGTATTGCCTGAAACTCTGAGCCCGACTGACATAACATATGACCCCGACTCAGAAATGCATCACCCCCTTTGGGTTAGCCACCGTTACCGTTTTCGTAACAATGTTAACACCAGATTAAACACCATCTTGGAAGTACTGGGATCCCATCAAAAGGGATTTGCGACTGCTGGTACCCGCAGCCTGGCGGCCCCCCAGAAACGCCCTTTTCTGCGCTCAATCCTGAGGACAAACCAGGCCTAGTAAAAACACACACACACACACACACACACACACGCATGCCCATCCCAACAAAAATTGAGTGGCTCCGGGTGTCTTTGGGTTCCGGAAGTTCCGGGCTCTGGTCGGGCAACTGCCTGGCCGCCTGGCCATATGGCTGTTGGTCAAAAATAGGTACCCAAAATGGCACCCTGGTAAATGGCAATGACTAAAACCTGTGGTGCTCTGGTGGTTTAATTTTGACCCATACCCATATTTCCGTATTGTGTTGTTTGGTTTCAAAGAAAGGCAACAGGAAACAAAGCGAATTCCGAAGCAATCCATGTACAGTTGTGAGGGGTAAATGCAAGCATATATGACTTCTATTTGTTTAAGAATATGTTATATTTTCCCTGGTTGATTTTAAAAGGAAGTTATAACTACTGGAAATATCTTCTTCTTTTTCCAGGGGTCTTAAGCAAATGGAGATGAATTGCATGGGTTCGGGACTTGGAGGTGTCCACCTAGAGATGCGCTCGGCTTGAGGTCCTAGAGTCAATCTCCGATGAGCAGTCCTTGGAGGGATCCACCGAGGACCTGGCTCCGTTTCTGGCGCCGGGCGAGCATTTGGTCAATGTGTTTTCACCGGGGCTCGGTGTCATGATCACAAAAGGGGCTGGCCAAAATGGGCTTCAGTTTCCTTTTGCTTTGTCTAAAGGTATGGTTTGGGGATGGGGAACAGAGGCCAGCACAGGGTTTGCTTTGTCCATGCCTCGCTTCTGTTGTCAGTTCTTGGTCGGCTATTCGAGAATGAAGCTCCCAACCATTCCTTGCAAGGAACCAAAAGTGCCAGGAAACACGATCATTCCCACATTGCGCTTAGATTTCTATAAGGTATACTATACAGTTTTTCTTTGAGCGTGCGTGCGTGTTTGTGTGTGAGTGTGCCAGTGACCAACTCCTAGGGAATTTGGCATGACACAGTTGCCGTGTTCACACTGCGGAGGGTGGTGTTGGGAGAGGAACAAACAGAGTTTGCCAACCATTTCCACGCTTTAGAAGTCTTAGCTAGTCGCATTTCTAGAGCCAAGAAATCTGAATGGGAATCGGCGACGTAGCTAGTACGACCGAACGTTTCAAGGTGCATTAAGTGCTGAAGACCAATTTGTGACATGATTGTCAGGACTCCAAGCTCTACATGAGAGATGATTACTTGGCCGGCGCTCTGCCCATGACGGTCGCTTCCATGCAAGGCCGCGAATCAGCGAATCGGCTTCTGCTTCGCGAATCGATTGCTTGCGTGCGGGAAGGGTCAGTCGGTCTGACAGTGGCTTATTTTTCTGGAAGCGAGCAAACTTTTGCATGGTTCGTTGTTTGTTCTTTTTTTTTTCTGGAAGCTGACTGGCGGGTGCGGGACGAGTATCTGAGCAGGACATGGATTGCTATTTCATCCATCAGGGAGCCAATGCGCTAAAGGGTGGCTTACGAGCATCAGCCAGTTGAGCAGCGGTCAACGTGCCGGTGTCTGGAAGCTTATGTGCCAAAAGGGAAGTGACACATCATCTACTATAGAAAGGCAGTAAATTAGGCACATGAATCCAGATTGCAGGTAGGCAAGGGTGATGAGTGTCCTTTGGTAGGGGTGCTGCTTTTTTGGGGGACATATTGCGAACTGTGTAAATGACTTCAAGTACCTGGAGTCTCCATGACCCTTAAAAAATGGGATCATTGCCCAAAATTAAGGGGTCATGGACCCATTGTTTAAGGGTCGGAAGGAGACTCTAGGTATATATTTGGAGGTTGGCAACATACGGACCAGAAGTGAACCATGCCACTTCCTACTTGGACAAGTGAGGCAGTTTCGGGGCGGATACGAAACCCGCTGGTGGTAGGATTTGTGGCCGGCCTAAGGCTTCGGGTGATCCCAGCAAGAGTTTATCAAAAAGGTTGTTTCCATTGCGTTTTAATCTCTACTAGCCTTTTTTGGGGGAGGGTTCCCCTACTAAAATAGACTACAGAAAAAGGGTGCCCTTACTCTAACCTCTCTCGGAGGACCTAGTTTAGTAAAGTCGGCCTGTATGAGGTTTTTTTGGACTATGGATGTTGCTGAAGAACTCTTGTCTGCGGGGACATAAAAAAACTCACTTGCCCAAAGCCAACCTTTTGTCCTTTTGGTGTTCCAATCTTGGTCCGCATTTTGTCATGGCCCCAAAAGGCTTATTTGTTACTTCTGGTTCCTTGAAACAAAGTGAGAGCTCGGGATGTGGAAGAGCTCTTGGATTTCGGCATTTGTTTTGCTATCGGCCCCTCTCAGCGTGCGTATTTGTTTGGGCGTGGCTTTGTTTTGTGGATCGGTGAGGTGACGGCTTCCCGCAACACCGCGGGGGGACCAAACCGCCGCAAGCTGGCTTACTCCATGCGCGTGTGTCTCACCAGTAAGGGAGCCTCCCAAATTGAACCGACCAAGGAGGGTTTCCCAAAGAAAAGAGGCACTTACACGACCACTCATGGTGTCTCCATGAAAACACGGAGGCTTTTTCAAACCTTCGGGCTTCCTGCTAGCTTCCGCATCGCGTACCACTCCTTAGGCTTCAAAAACTTGGCTTCCTCTTTGGTTTCCCTTTGAGACACCTGTCCGAAGGTGCACCTTTTTGAGACCATGGCCACATGCCTCAAGCTTTGAGACGGGCTTCGGCCAGCTTGGTGATCCAGGTGAAAACACCCGGAACTTGGTTTTGTGTTGCGACGTGAGCCCGGGCGTCCTGGCCAGGGCGGCCCTCAAATGAGTATGTCTTTGGTGTTTGCCCTTTTTTGGCCTCCCCCTCCACCCCCTCTTTTGACACACCCAAATATGGCCCACGTGTAACAGTTTTCGCTTCTCGCTCTAAAGTTCCACCTGTTTTGCTTGGTAAGCCCGCCTGCGGGGGTAAACGAGCTCGCCGTAGGTGTTTGCACGGGATCCAAGTCTTGTTTCTTTATTGAAGCAATTGCAGACTCTGCCCTTGGTCCCGTCTTGTTTGGTGGGTTCCCAGAAATTGTGTGTGTGCGTGTGATTGTTTTTCTGGGTAACACCGTTTTGTATTGGTTTACACGAAAACCAACATGAAAGGAGGCCAGCCGTTTGGCTCAAAATTTAAGAGGAGGGGTTACGCATGTTTCCACTTTCCAGGGCAACCCATTTTGGTACCTTTTTGTTTTTTGAGCCACAGCCATTAATGGATACTCCTGGATACAAAACGAATTAGTAAAGGTGGATTCATTATTTATTAATCCTTATTTATTATTCCTCATTTATTAATCCTAATAATGGGACGGGTTTATTATCCTGGTAGTATTTGGATACATACCGAATTGAACTAAGCTACGCTCCGTTAATCTGCCTAAGGCCCGGTTGCCCCGCCCACCACCACGCCCGAGTCGCAGCTTGGCATCGAGCAGTGAATAAATCAGGGGTCGATATATATATATATATATATACATGTGTATGTATGTATGTATATTATATATATATATATATATTATATATATATATATATTTGTGTATGTATTGATTTATTTGTGTGTTTATGTCATTATTTTTTCTATTTATTTGTTTATTTGTCTATTTATTTATTTAGTTAGCTTATTTATGTTATATATATATTTGATGTCCGACCACTTCTCAGAAGGTCCCATTTTTGGGCCCAGAAGGGGCCATGAACATGAGGTTGGATGAGCACCTTTTGGCCCGTGGAGTGCTGGGTGAACTGTATGGCAGTCACCAGGTCCGGTCCCTTGGGGCCGGACCTGGTTCCATGTTGATCGGGTGTGTCTTGTAGCCATGGGTGTTTTTTCAGGTTTTCGTCGTAAACCCCCAAGCAAAAAGATGCACCCTGAATAGGCTCAATAAGGCCGCAATCAGCGCCCATGGGATTGGGCAACCCCTTCTTGGGGGGCCCTTCACAACAGGGCTATCCCAGTTTGGGAGTTACAGCAATTTGGGGTGTGACTTCATTCCCTTTTTTGTTTGGGTGCGAAGGGCAACCAACAGGAAAGCCGCAACCTTTTTTTGGGAGGGGGCCAAAAGAAAGATAACGCCGCTGGTCTAGCTCCACCCTCCCCATCTGTTTAGGGATCCCTCTCTTCCAAAAACGGTCCAAACCCCAGCAAAATAAATAGTGTCTAAAAAAAGGATGGGTGAAGAGAATGGCCGAAAATTTGGGGAAGCAACGTCTAAATTATCATGTTCTGAATTCTAAGGTTTGAGGCGAGATGGTGATTCTTGGTGTCTAAGTTCTCTAAGACTCGGTTGTTGTTGGGAAACATTTTACATTTTTGCTTATTGTGGTTTAGTGGCTGAAATCCAACCACTTGGCTGCTAAAAAATGAGAATTGTTGCTCCCCGTCCAACGTCAACCAAGAAGAGAACAATGGGGAATCAAACTACGTCGCCCAGTAGTGCCCTTTTATCCTTTTTTGGGGGAGGGTTCCCATACTAAAATAGACTACAGAAAAAAAAGGAGAAAAAACAACACACAAAAAAAGGAAAAAACACGGGTACCCTTACTCGAACCTCTCGAATCTGGAGGACCCAAAGAAAGACAAAGCCACTGGCCGAAAGCCGAAAGCCGAAAGCTTGTCTCACCGACCTTGAGGTTCCGGCCTGCTTGGGATGCTCCACCGCTGCCTCAGGAGGCCGGGGGGGCCCATCAGTTTGCGGGCGAGACTTGAAACAAAATCTGAATGAAATACTAGGCCCCCCCAGTGGTGCCTTTTACCGTTTCTTTTTTGGGGGAGGGTTCCCCTGCTAAAATAGCGTACCAAAAAAAGGTACCCTTATTCTAACCTGTCTACTGGAGAACCTAGAATACTATGTTGGTTTATTTTGTTATGGGTATTTGTTTTGTGTTATGTTGTTATTATATTTTATTTTATTCGTAGAATGAACAGGGTTGTGGGAAATGGAATCCACTTCTGTGATACAACAAAAAGGGCTTCCCAAAGACTAAGACCCCATAAGGGAGCCTTGTATCACAGAAGTGAGAATACACCTGATTCCACAACCCTGAAGCTGAATGAAATATAATGTTGGTTTGTCTTGTTATTGGTATTTGCTTAGGGTTCTTTTGTTAGTGTTGTTGTTATTTGTTCTGTGTCTTGTATTTGTATAGGAAATTTGTTGCTTGCTGTTACTCGTTTTGTAAATATGCGACTGAGCCGAAGAGGGCCGAGTCTTGAGGTCCCAGATTATGGGTACGCAGAATGTGAACATTGCAATTCTTCGTAGAACCTTACTAATCAGGGGTGGTCCCCCTTCGGGATGAACAGTTTTTTGATTTTAGGATGTCCCTTTGACTAGCAATCTTAACCTAAGGACACTATATGTTTATGATGCTACACTTGAGGGTCCAACTAGCTTACCACACTTGGTTCGTTCGCCATCAATTTCTGGTAGGTTTGAAGGGGATTTGAGCGTGGCGCCCTGCTACTTGAGGTTTGGCAAGGGTTGTCAACCAGACATTCTTCAGGATGGCATCGCCCATTTTTGATGTCACTTGGTGGCTGTTTGGTTTAGCTTTTTGACCGCTCTCCCGTTGGCAGAATGGCTCCTTATTACTCACTTGCCAGTGCTACACTTAGCACTCAACGTCCAGCTCTATCTGGCCTTGTTGGAGAGCGTTCATTCATTCCCGGGAACGGAGGCGCCAGAATGGAATGGTCAATCCGTTTGATGGCTTCAGCCATCAGGCTGGACATGTGGACACTTTAGATCCATTGTGAGGCCTGGGGTGTTTCCCTACAGGGATGCGCTGGTTCTTTCCGGCTTTTCACAAAACAGCATGACGCCATTATGCAAGTGGGCTCCGCCTGTGGACATAGTTGTGCAACACAAATGGTAGTCGAGTATAGGGCGCCCCATATTGTTCCGTTTTGAGTGGTTCAAAAGTCAGCGGTTGGTCTCCTGAGTAAACAGTTGGTGATCTGTCTTGAGCTATAAGTTTTTTTTGTTGGAGAAGCACCTGGGAAAGTATGTTCCCGCCGGAGAAGAGTTGGACATTCTACTTTTGATGATTGAATCATTTTATGCCCCCTTTGGTTTGGTGGTTGGAGCTCCTTTTTGGGAATGGCCTTTCCGTGGTTTGTGTTTTTTGGGTTCGGCATCTATAGTTGGACGCACCTTTTGCTCCTTGGTTTGACCTTGGAACTTGTAATATGACCAAGGTTTCACCACGAATAGCTCAGCTAACAACTGGTCAAGCCACATGTCGTTGGAGGGAAGATGGGGGAAGATGGGTGAGGGCTTTGGGTCAAAGATGTGGTGGGAGAGGGCCCCAAGATGCAGGCAGCGTGGGGTTTGCGAGGTTACCCTCTTTCCAACAACTATTTGCCTTGGGCACCCCTTTTGCCTTGGCTTGCGGGGAAGCCAACAGGAAAACCGCCATATGTAGGGTCTCCCTAAGTGGACAGGTACCCATGTACCTGGAAGGGCTCCTTTGCAAGATGATGGTAGTTGTCCAAAACTCGCTTGTGCACTTCCATGATTGTTGGAAAGAAGGTGCTTGGATTCTTAATCCACTGCACTGGGCTACAATCTTCGTAAGGGAATCAACTCCGGCGAACGTGGGTGGAGCACCTCAAACGCTGAACATGTGAACCCACCTATGAATCTCTAGCATGAACCTCTAGTTTATGGTTCAAGTAACTTCATCTACGGTTATGGGAAACCTGCTTACACAGTCCCATTTCTAAAGGAGAACCAACCCCAGGTACCCCAGTTTACCACTATAGTTTTGGCCGCCCTGACTTGCGCAAGAAGCATCCAAGGAACATCCAAGGACCTGAACAGGGGCCTTCCGGTGCTTTAAAGACTTGGTTACATAACAAGAGCATGGAACATCTCCGTGCCGAGCCGACTCCGTCGGCGCGTCGGATCGCGAATCGCCCAGCCCACCACTGGTGCGGCGCCCATCGACGGGAAGCAGTTTTTCCGGCAAGCTCGGGGGCCCGAAGCGTCCCATGTGTTCCATGCGCAGACCTGTGGCTTGCGTCCTTTTGCGGCTTTTCTTGGGGCTTTCCCTGTGAAACCAACAAAAATAGAGCGCCTTGTGGTCCTATGAGCATCCACTGCAGGTTTGGGTTCAGGAGCTTTTTCACCGCCAAAGCGGCCCTGGAGGGTCTATCCGTCCAGTGGAGGGTCTCTCATCTTGCGGTTTTCAGAGTAGCTTTTGGGGCGTCTTGAAAGGGAACCAAAGGGGTAAGGTTTCATTAAAAATCAGCTCATATTCTTGCCCTTGGCTAAAATGAACCAAGAACGGCAAGAACACAAGCAAATCCCGGACTTAGGGAGTTCCTAGGTTGGGGATGGGTGGCCCGTCCATCCTTTGTTGTTTCAAGTGGGAGATCAAGAGCACCCCCTCCCTCAAAAAGCGTTGAGGGAAATTCGATCCGAGGTCTCCATTGTCGGCAACCCATGTTCTTCGTCTGTGGGCGAGAGGTAAGCACAGGCAAAGGGAGATGTGAGAGTTTCCAAGCAATGAAGTAGCCACAGACTTGACTGATCTCGTAGCATTTGTAAAAGCTCCACTGAATCTGGCAGATTTCCAGCAGGACTGACCGATCTGCTTGCCAAGCACAAGTTCACTCCGCGACCAGAACGCCCTTATGTGTCTCTTCTTTTGACTCGTGGCGTTTCTTCTTCGCGGCAAGCTGAGAGTTGGCTTGCCCCGATGGCCGACCGATCGGCAAATATCGGCAAGCAGATTTGGCTTGGTTTGGCAGGGGCAGACGGGGTGATTTAGAAGTGCCAGTGCGCTGTTATTGGTTTCAAAAACAACTTGGGACCATCTTTTGGAGGGTTAAGGGAACCACTAACGCAGAGTTTGCTCTGAGTCATTGCAAGCTGGAAGCGCAAGGGTGAATTGGCAAACAGTTTTCTCTAGTTTCCTGGCTACAGTTCCACCTTTGTTCACCTTACCCCCTATTTGGTGGTTTGGTTTGGTTCATTCATTCATTCATTCATTCATTCATTCATTCATTCATTCATTCATTCATTCATTCATGCGCACTGACGTCTGAGGTCCACACGTGAGGCTAGCAATAGCACGTGAGGCTGACCATCGGCTCATAGATTTGAGCTGCCATAGGTTTAGTTTGGTTTAGATGTTAGGGCTACCTTCCCAATACAGGTCCCGACCTGCGCAGCCCTCGCAAGTTTTTGTCGGGTCCCTAGTGCGACACCTCCTTATCGCTTTCCGCGAGAAGCTACCTATAGCAGTGCCCAAAACCCCTTATTGGCCACTTGGCCATGGGTCAAAATCCAAATCGTATCACCAGTGAACATCCCAATCCAACCACTAAAATAGGTTCTAAAATGGGTGGTGCACCTACCCCAAAATGGGATCCCAGAGCGGTTTTGACAACCACAGCCACTTCAGTGTGTGGTTCTACTGCCTGGCTTCACGTGTGATTAGCAAAGGCCCCCTTCTGACCCTTTAAGCTGGGGCCATGACGCCGTTGTTTGGGCGAATGACCCCATGTTTCTCCTATTTTGGGCATATGGCCCAGTTGTTGACCGGTCTTTGGGTACATGACCTTTTTGTATGGGTCAGAAGGAGACTGGCTTCGATCTTTGATCGAATCCCCCGCGCTGAGGCTCGGAACAGCCTGTCCTACGAAGCCTTCAACGTCCTGCTTGCGAAGTTGAAGAGTGGAATGGGACCCTGGCCAGTCCAGTCGACTCCAGTCTCCACCTTTCCACTCCAATCCTCCAGCGAGTCTACTCCCAGTTTATTCCGGCCCAAGTCTCAAACCCAGTCCAGTGGATTAATATTTGGGGGGTCAGCATTTACTCACTGCCGGAGTCAGCTGGACTTTAGTCACTTGGGAGTGGCAAAAGCTCCGCTGCCCAAAGCGAATGAGCTTTTGGCAACCACTTTTCGTCGGTTGGGGCCAAAAGGTTCTGGGTGCAAATGACTTGGGACTTCTGGGGCCTTGAAGTATAAGCCTTTTGTTTCCGGCGAATGGGTGTGGGAAATTGTTCAGGTCCTTCCTGATGAAGCAGGTTTTTCCAAAGCCCAAAGTCCCCAGACTTTTTGCGCGTCTCAGACCAACCCACTTGAATTCTTATTGCTCTGTTACCCCTCTCCAAGAGCCGCAATTCGCCAATCTTCCTTGGAAGGCAATCTTCCTTATTCTCCCGCCAACACGCACGCCACACAAGCATACTGCTTAGACTAGGGACTGAGTTTCAATGATACGTTTGATTTCTTGGTGGCTCCAGCCATCCCCTTCGCTTTTTAGGCTTTTAGGGTTTAGCGGTAGTTTCCATTTAACCCCCCACCAACAGTTAGCTGCGGCAACCGATGCTGCTACTCGTGTCGGGGATGCTCACACAAGAGCACAGCACACTAAGGAGTCGCAGGGGGGAAAAGTGCATGTTTCGAGCGGCCAAAGTGCAAGTTTCTCGGTTGTGTTAACTTGCTAGCGCTTGCAATTGATTAGATCTTGTCAAGGGGGCGCTGTGTGTTGTTTTTGAGAGTTGTTGGTCGTACACGAAATTCCATGTATCTTGATCCGTGTTTCTCTTCCTCCGGACTGCCCCACGGCTTGTTGGTTTACTTTGAAAGAACGCCTGAAACAATTGACGGGGTGGAAAGGGAAGCCACCCAGCTTTTACGAAATTGAGTTTGCTTTGGGGCGATGCTTACTTCGTTTGGATGGCAACTCCCACCAGACCTGGGCATGCGTGATGGTGGACAACCCACGAGAGGCGAGTTTTGCCTTCCCGACCATCGCTATGTCAGCGCGGTGGCGCAACTGTGCACGGCCGATGTCGGGCGCTTGGAGGGGGCGCTATTTGACATAGAGGCACATGCGTCCGGGCATGCTCAAGGCACGGTGTACATCGAAGCGCCGCACTAAAAACAAATGCGCCGATGCTGGGGTTGTTGTTGAGCAGCAGCCTCTCGGTGGAGTTCGGACATCCTTCTCGCAACACCGGCTGGCAGACATGTTTTCTTGCGGGGCTTGGGTTGGATCGCTTTCGATGCCAACTTTCCTGGTGTGACTTCACTTGCAAACTTCTCCTGAGAGTTGAAATTCCCACTGTTTCCCAGTGGTTGTGTTTATTGTTTTGTTTTCATTCTTTCTTTCTTTTTGCGGGGGGGGGGGGGGAAGGATCACTCGTTTAGAATGGGATGTTAACTCAAAATTGCAAGTAGAGCACCCACACACCATTTGTCAACTTTTCGGGTGTTACAAGCTAACTTGTCCTTTGCACTTCTTTTCTCGAGTCACGAAACATATTCCTTTTCCGCGGCTGGTAGGCCGGACGGTAGCCTTCTACGGAGATTGCCCGTGTCGAAGTGGTGGTGGTGGTGGTGGTGGTGGTGGTGGTGGTGGTGGTGGTGGTGGTGGTGGAGGTGGTGGTGGTGGTGGTCGTGGTGGTAGTGGTAGGTCTTGGTGAGGTTTTAGGGGGGAACTATAGGGAACACTGATGAAAATCAGGCTATAGGAAGCAGGTTTTGATTCTGGCACATTGACCAGAGGCTTTCGAAATGTCCCGAATTCGCAGAAGCATGGCCAGGAATTCTTGGCCAACATCAAGCGGCTGAACAACCAGTGGCTTTGGCACCGTTGCCGGAGTTTCGGTGCATGATATCACTTGGAACAGGAACATATCGGGTTTGCAATATGAGCAGCAGTTCTCTTCGCAGCTTCTTTTCCACCCATGGGTTGCAAATGAAACCTCACTTGAAGATAGTGAGTTTCCTTACCCTGAGGCCAGGAATTGACCACCCTAACAGAGAGAATAGTGGCCCCAACACATAGAACTCTACACTTGTATGGGGTCCCTGTATGTTCGGAAGCTGGCTCATCTGGCAAGCCCTCCCAACTTGATGTTGGAAGAACTAATTCGCCCAGAGCGGCGGCCTTCAGCATCTGTTTTTGGCCACCCTTTGTGGACCGATTTGTAAGCACAAGGAGCCTGATTGCAGGGATCGAATCATTCAGACGACCCTCCTAAAAGAAGCCTGTGCATGGCTAGTCCCCCAGACTCCGAGGGAGCTTGGAAGATTCCGGAGTGGTACATCCCTGGTACCAGACCATTTTCCTATTATGTTGGATGCAACAGGGACGCTAGAGAAAGCGCAAGCACAAATGGGTATGTCTCGTCAAAGCTGGGATTTGGAGCCCACCAAGTGTTGGTTTCCCTGTTGGTTTCCCTCGAAACCAACCTGAAAAGGGTATACTATAGTTCAAAAAGCGCCCAAATCAGGATGCGGAAGAGGGGTTCCTTTAAGGGCCACAGTAGACATTTCTTGGTTGCAAAAGATTATGGGGGTTTCCTTGGTAGCCAATTGGGACGTTCGGGCCGCAAAGTTCTGCAACAACAACTTGCCCTGGGTTCTGGCCATTTGGGGCAACCTAAGCAAACACTGCAATACCCTCAATGTGCGGGGAAGGGGGTGTGTATCCACTACAGGCCTGCCTTCTTTTGCTTGAATCATCAGCCGTGATGAGTGACCTCCGCTTGGGGCCCTTCCACTTCACTGCAAAACCCAAAGACAAACCACTTTGCCAGAATTAGTTCCCCTTTTTATTGTTGTGTTTTTTTTGTGGTCCCTTAATTTTCCACTAACCAGGCAAAATATATTTTTTGCTTGGGTCCTAATTCTAGCCTAGTCAACTGCAAAACCCAAGCCCAAGCCTAAGGTTTAACACCAGCCCGCGTCCGAAGCTTTGCCACAAGAAGTCCTGCATCCACGGGGCTCACGTGAGAGGCCGCCATGCGGTGGATGAACATTGGGCTGTGGGTCAACACCCCGTACTGGTGAACATCAAAATAGGTGCTACATGGGTGTTCATCCGCCCCAAAATGGAGGCATAGGTTAAGACCCATGGCCATTTGGTACCATCCTGCATTTTTGCCCTTGACTAAATTCCCGAGGTTGAGGGTTGAAACCCACCGGTTCCAAGAACCCTAGCCTAAGGTTGACTCTAGATGAGTAAACCCCTGCCTTACAAAGGTTGTTCCCTTCAAAGTGCATGGATGCCATCACTCAAAATCAACCGGCGGTACTTTGGTGCGTCATTGTTAGGGACCCCCCAAAATGATGGCTTTCCTTTTGGTTTCCAATTGAAACCACCAAGAAAGGGGTACCCTCAAAAACAGGGATCCCACATATGAAGCCATGGCTTTTGGGAAACCAGTTTCCGATAAATCGGCGGTGTTCGTTTTCGGTGTCCCTCTTAACCCACCAAGAAAGGGGTACCAACTCCAAAAACAACCACATAGAATTTATTTTCGTTGGAAGGTTCAAACCCTGGTTTAACATTTTTTCGGTCATGGAGATGGAGGAAGATCCCACCACCACCACCACCACCACCACCACCACCACCACCACCACCACCACCACCACCACCACCACCACCACCACCACCACCACCACCACCCATGAACCCCCCATGAATTCCGGGCTGGCATGCTGCTTCTGGCGCCTGGGCGCCTGGGCGCCCGCAAGGCAGCAGAGCCGCGAGACGACCCTGGAGGAGGCAAAGCGAATCTTCGGGCCCGAGCTGCAGCACCTCTACCAGGCGCCCGCAAAAATTGGCGGGCCGCGGTGTGGCTGGGGTGGGGTGGGGCCACCGGGAACAAAGCGGAGAGGAAATCGGTGGCTGGGGCGGGTGGGGTGGGTGGAGTGGGTGGTGGCCTCTAAAAAGCAGAGAGCGATTTTGCAAGGGGCGAACCAACTGCACACGTGACACGTATCTTCTTTAATGGGATCCCCGAAATGGTACGGTTTTCCTTGATTTTCTCCGTAAAACCACAAGAGATACCTTCAACAAAAGGACGCACCCACATGATTCCCTTATGACCATGACTTCAATTGGATTCAAAGTTCCCCACAACCCCATTGTCGGGAATCGCACGTGCGCTGCTTGATGTTTGTCCCCTTTCCGACGATCATGGAAGCGAACAGGGGTTTGGTTGATGAGCAATTCATCTACCAGCAGCCAGGCATAACATTCTCCACGTGCCTAGTATCCTGCTCATGTGGGTTGTGCCTACGAGCGAGCCAGGTGTTCTTCCACAACTTGTGTCTGATCCGTAAAGTGTCAAAAAGGTGACATGTTCAATGACTAGCGTCAGCTATCGCTCACTCGGGAGTTGTTTTTTAAATGGTAGTTACATGAAACGCAGAGGGTCCAAGTACTTTCAAGCAATGCCATGACCTTGCTTCACACTTGGGATATATGTTTTCGTTGGTTGCCATTCTTCCAAGGGTGCTGTTGATTTGATAGCTTGTTTAAAAGCCAGAAAAAACTAAGCCGACAATTTCAGGTGCCCGCTTCGACTCATCAGGCTTGGTCAAACAAGTGGTAGTCTATGGTTTATGTGGACTCGCCCCCAAAATTCCATGTTTTTTTAAGGAGAACCTGCGCAATTTGACTGTGGCTCATGTTGCCGCCAAATGATTACCAATCGTTTCATGACACAATTTGGCTTAAAAGTGCCCCCCCCCCTTTCGAACTATATAGGGCATCATATCCATTTTATACCCTACCACCAATGAACACGGAACCTGACGTTCGGGACCCGGTCCCTGTCAAAGGAAAATGGTCCAAACCAGGACCCCCCGCACGGGTACCATGCTAATCGGTGGCAGGGCGTTACTCGTGGGGTTGATTCCCCATTCTTTTCAACCATCGTTCTTTTCCAAAAACAGCCGTTTTCCCCGGGTTTTTGGAGGTTTTCCCCAACATCTAAAAGCTTTGGGGTCTCAGCCCAGATAGGCTCCGGGGTGGTCCGGGGCGGCCCTTAGGCAAGGTTCCACGAGGGTTCCACCAGGGTTCCACGGTTCCACAAGGTTCTGCGAGGGCTGCGAGCACTGAAAAGAGCTTCGCATGCTGTGATCCCTGGTATTTGGCCACCCCCAAACTCCCTAAAGGTCGCGCACTCAGTGCAGAGACCCGGATTCGGTTGTTCGTTCGTGGCCAAAACGTCGGCAGGACTTTGAGCTTTTGCTGAACCGCCACGGCGCCTGAAACCGGGCGCTCTCGGCGCAAGGCGAAGCTCGAGAGGAGGTAAAAACGGAAGTAAAAAGACACTGCAACAGACCTCCCTGGGGTTCAATCCACCATTAAAACCTAGGTGCTCCAGTAGTGCGCTTCTCTCCCCTTTTTTGGGGAGAGGGTTCCCCTACTAAAATAGACTACAGACAAAAAGGGTACCCTTATTCTACCCTCTCCGCTGGAGGACCTATAGAAACAATGGGGTTCATATGGCCACCATTGTTTGCCTCGGATTGTCATCATCCAATCTGGGTCAACCTTTCCATGGGGGTTGAACCCTATCGGACCTGTCATGAGCCAGCCGCAAACCAGACAAGCAAGGCCGGAAACGCTTCTTGCAGGGTGCGGGCAGCGCTGAACTCTCAGCTGCCAAGCATCAGGTGCCTTTGTTTCGTTCGCCGCCCTGGCACACCAGTCATGACGCAAACAATTGAAGCCGGTCCAAGTGTGAGCTGAGGCCAGCTGACTCAGCTGGCCCTTTGAACAATGGCAGGGCCGACTTTTTGCATATGGGAGCGTGGGGCCGGCGCTTGGGTTGGTTTTCGAGGTTGCCCTTCTCACTTCGGTTTGAAGGGGAACCAAAAGGAAAACCAACATGGCTCGTGGATCCCTTTGTTTTGACACACGAACTGACTCGAGCGCAGCTTGTGTTTGTGGATTTGTGGGAGCCATTGGGAACCTGGCCGCTGCTTGCGCGCTGGGGCCGAGTCAGCTTCAACACGAGGCAGAGTTCGCGATTCGCGCCGCTGCAACGAGCAGCGCGCGGATTAATTGAAGAAAATTGAGGCGGGGGACATTGGAAACAGCGTTACACGCGGGTGCGTTTGTGACAAAGTAGTCACAGCGATGGGAGTTCGCCACTGCCAGACTTAGCTTACTTCTTCAACTGCTTTTTGGGGTTTTCTCCCTTAGCACCAGAGCTTAAATGTCAAAGTTTGTTTTGATTGGCAGATCCGTCCGGCCCGGAGGTCCGTTCAAGAGGAAGCCTGCGGCAGCCTTGGATCGATATGTTTGTTTTCCCAAAGTGATGTCTATACATGGGACATCTCTCCGCACCAATGGTACGGCTTATTGGTTTCCAAGCTGGTTAAACACCCTCGCCTGTAGCCGCTCCCGTTTGTTCGTTTGCCGATCGACCCCGCCTCATTGCTTGCATGAATGAACCGACGCGCGTGGGCGGGCTTGCATGAACGGCACGGCTTGGCTTGTGCTGAGTGCGCGTCGACTTGCAGCTTGCATACTGACCCGCTCGAAAGGATGGCATTAGGAAAAATGGCGGCCAATCTTTGCGTTGCTCTGGTTGATTCCCGCTTCTCACCCGTGCTGCTCTGAAACCAATTTTCGTGTCGGTGAAGAGAAGGATTCGTAAACATAATGGGAAAGGTTTACAGTTGTTGCGCGGCAGATGGGCTTTACACAGTTCCGGTGTTTCCCTTAGAGCTTTCCGGCTTGAATGTGGCAATGTGTTGAGCGGTAAATCATCGGGAAATCTCCAATGACCTCGCTCTTTGGTTTGTCGTTCCGACCTTTCAACTTGGATTTTCATGCATGTAGTTACTAATGTAGTTCTGCCCCTTAGCTTTTTTTGTGTTGGCCGAGATTGATGGAGGGCCGAGATCGATTTCGTGGTTGCCTCAGAGAATCTCAGCCCAGCTTGAATTCCTGAGTTGCTTCGTCCATTTCAGGATACCCCGCGTGTCAGATTTTTTTTTTACCTCTATTGGAGAGGCTTTGATCTGGGCCTAAAAAATGGAAAGGGCAGTTTTGTGACCTCAGAAGGCCCCCTTTTTGAGGTAAGAAAGAGTTTGGGAAAGCCATACGAAGGGATCTCTTCGGGTCCATACCACCGGTAGTTTCACTTTCCGGCAACATGCTCTAACGAAGGGAGACTGACGTGCCCCTTTTGGTGGTTGGGTGTCCGATCTTCTCTGATAGGGCCTCACTTCCTGAGTCGGACTTTTTTTGCTTGGGAAGAGAATGGGCAAGCCAGGCTATGGAGCCGAGTCATCTAACCCCTTGTGATAGAGGGTAAATGGGAAGGCCCATTTACCCCACCTCACCTCCGAATAATTCCCCGGCTCCAAACAATTTTTTCGGATGTCCATGAGGCAATCCTCCATGGCTTCTCTCCTTGGCCTCATAGACTTTCAAGCGGAATCTGAACATTTCCTGAGATGGAGCCCTGATAGACATCCTGCTATCTTGACTTTTCCCACACTTTGGCCAAGCTGAACAAAATATTCTTAAAGACTGCAAGATTCGTTGCCAGACGTTGCCCTTCAGTTTCCTTTCTGGCAACCGCCAGGATATTTGTTCATGATTTTGGACACGTTGTCCATTGACTGCTGCCTAACACCCTGGTTGGTCATTTGAGTGGCGGGTTATATCTGCTTCACTGAGGATCAACACCTCCATGGAGCCACAAGTCCAGGTCTCTCGTTTTCCGAATCTCCGGAGAGACAGAGAGGGTTCAAGCTGGCCGCAGCTTGAGACCGGTAAAGTAAAGAAAGCGCTGGTCAAGATTCGGCAGGCTCCAACCATTCCCCTTTGGACTTGCAACACACCAGGGTGCTGGGATCACTCGCAGCTTATCCACACGGGTTCTCGTGGCTCAAGTCTTTTGATCGCGGCCTTGCGCTCTCCATAGGAGGCGATTTCGCTTCCTTTTTCGGGGGAAAACCGTGAAGAGGTGTGGGTTGAAACGTGGTGAAGTGCGTTGCACCTGGGATTCTCAGTGAAAACACAAATTTGAAATTTGAGTGGTCAAACCAAGATGCTTCCTTCCACCCCCCCCCCCCCGCCAAACAAAAAGGAAAGGTGGTCTCCCTTTGTGTTTCCCAAAAGGACAACCCCGAGGGCAATTGCCTTGGCATCACTTGGACTTGCTTTTGCCGATTCGTGCCACCCATCGGTTTAATTCGAGGGGAAGCCAGAAAGGTCCTGTAAACGTCAGAATTCCTGACGTCACCTAGTGGGCACCCGATGTTGGCTTTTAACGGGTGTTACCTACATAGGTCCCCCAGTAGTGTTCCTATGGTTCTTTCCCAGGGATAAACCAGAAACCTCCAGTGGACCGGAGCGTGTAGCTTTCAATCAGACCGTTCGAGCCTTTTGGCGAGCCCCAAGCTTTTGGGAACGGTTGCACAGGCGCCGGTCTCCTCTTTGTTCAGCGTGAGTCCGACGGGGGTCGAAACACCAAACCCAGGAACAATCCATTGCGCCAAACAGCCCTGGCAGCCCATGCCCTCTTACAGATTGACATGGAACCCCAAACAACCATATCTTTCTTAGAGGAAACTCCTTTGATAATCAAAAATTCCCTTCTTTGCCTTCTTAATTTGTGGGGGAATAACAGATTTGATCGCCCAAAATGACTCCAAAAGGGGGGCTGGGACAAGTTTGTTGCTAGGGGCACAACCTCTTGGAGGTTGCCTTTGGTCTGGGGTCCTTACCGATTCCTATTGAAAGAATGGCCCGGGGGGATGTTTGATTCTCAGGGTTTAGATGGGGAAGCCTCCAAACCACCAAGCTCCAAAGGAGGCTCGAAACCAGGAAAGCTGAACAGAGGGTTGGGTTTCCTACCTGGACCCTCAAACTACCCAAAAAATGGGATATCACCAACCATAATTTTGGGGGTCAAACCCATTTTTAAGATGGGATTTTGAGGGTTCAGGTTGTCATTTCCCTGGGCAGGCGCCGGTTTGCTGCTGACCAGCCGTTCGAGCACCAGTCCGAAAAATCGGCCTTCGAAGGCCACGGAGAACATGTGTTTGAGGCCCATTTCGGCGTGGTTCTTTTTTTTGGGGGGACACCCGGTTGGTTGTTGTTTAGCCGCAAAAAGCAACACGAATTCAACAAGTTTAGAGGTTCCCTAGAGACAAGTCCACTTTGATGTGTGTTTGTGGAGGATGTTTTGATCTTCAACAGTCTTGTTGCCTCAACAGTGGCCCTGTGTGTGCCCTTGTAATGGAGGTCCTTTCAATGGAGGGTGCAATGTCATTTAGGGAAGGCCCATTTGGGCGTGTCACTCTTTTCGGGTTGAGTTGGATTTAAGGGACACCGAGAGGGAACCATGAAAGGCGCGCCCAAATGTGGAGACAATCCCAAGCGCAAATCCGAGATGAAGTGATCGGAGGGTCCTTTGTATTGACGCCTTGCCCTTGGGTTGCCAGAGAGTATGCCCGAATCTCGACAAAGCTGTCAGCAGCCCAGCACAGACTCGCTTCGGCCATCTTTGGCGTTTATTTGTCCGAGGCTCCCGTGGCCATAAGATTTTTTGTACGCCCAGTAGCACTCTTCAAGCCTTCTCCCCCACACCTGACGCCATGGCATTTCGCATGCTGATGCTTGCTACTGCGCTGGGCGGGGCCTCTGCTTTCGTCCAGACCGCCGGCACAGGTGCGCAAGTGGGCAGCCATGCGCAGGCTGACGTGCGCGGACGTGCTGCCGACATGGTGGAGGTCCAGGAGGAGGGTGCCCCTTTGATGTCTTTGGGCATGGGCTTGATGGCAGGCTTGCTGGTGGCTCTGGCTGGATCGTCCCCGGCCTACGCGCAGAGGAACCAGGGCTACTCGGGCAACGTTGACCCCGAGCTCCAGTTCTACAACCCAGGATTCAAGTCTGAAGGTCTGCTGAAGGAGTTGGGCGACATGTCCGGCCCCAAGTGGGATCCCAAGACCGACGTCAAGTACAGGAGCGAGGTGATTGTCAAGCTGCCTGGTGAGGATACCAAGAAGGCGTAAGGGGCTTCATGCTTCTTCATTCCTTTTGCAGACCTTGGCGCGGCAGTCCTTCACAGCAAAAGACCCAAAATGCAACAGCTATGTGTCACTTGTGCGAGAGATAGTCCACCAGATGCTCGGCAGGAACATATTCTCAACATGTAATTGAAGCTATGTGGGTGTCCTCTTGGGAGTGTCAGTTTTGATTGAAGGACAGGTAGGTACATGGGTCGGACACGTTTCGCAAACTGTGAATGTAGCAGGCGGCATTCAAATGGAGCTTGTCGGGTATTTTTGTGCCATTGTGGTTCAAGGCTTACGTAGCCGTAAGTTTGTTTACTCCCGGTAGCACTCTTCAAGCCTTCTCGAACACACTTGACGCCATGGCATTTCGCATGCTGATGCTTGCTACTGCGCTGGGCGGGGCCTCTGCTTTCGTCCAGACCGCCGGCACCGGTGCGCAAGTGGGCAGCCATGCGCAGGCGGACGTTCGCGGACGTGCTGCCGACATGGTGGAGGTCCAGGAGGAGGGTGCCCCTTTGATGTCTTTGGGCATGGGCTTGATGGCAGGCTTGCTGGTGGCTCTGGCTGGATCGTCCCCGGCCTACGCGCAGAGGAACCAGGGCTACTCGGGCAACGTGGACCCCGAGCTCCAGTTCTACAACCCAGGATTCAAGTCTGAGGGTCTGCTGAAGGAGTTGGGCGACATGTCCGGCCCCAAGTGGGATCCCAAGTCCGACGTCAAGTACAGGAGCGAGGTGATTGTCAAGCTGCCTGGTGAAGAGTCCAAGAAGGCGTAAGGGGCTTCGTGCTACTGGGTCGTTTTTGAAGATCTTACCGTGGCAGTTCTTCATTGCAAGGCGCCAAAATGCCAGCATCGCTATGTGTTTAACATAATTGCATGCAGATGACCAGCATGAAGAGGGACCTGTCACATGTTGTTGCTTTCCATTTCGGAGTTGTTCAATCTTGACTGAACAAGAAGTAGGTGCAAGCGCGGAACCTGAGTTTGGAGCAGCTGACGTAGCCAGTCTTTAACCGTTGTTTGGCACTTTTTCTTGACTTGTAATATTGGCCCAAAGCTTGCGAAGCCGTAAGTTTTTTTGACTCCCGGTGGCACTTTTGAAGCCTTCTCGAACACACTTGACGCCATGGCATTTCGCATGCTGATGCTGGTTACTGCGCTGGGCGGGGCCTCTGCTTTCGTCCAGACCGCCGGCACAGGTGCGCAAGTGGGCAGCCATGCGCAGGCTGACGTGCGCGGACGTGCTGCCGACATGGTGGAGGTCCAGGAGGAGGGTGCCCCTTTGATGTCTTTGGGCATGGGCTTGATGGCAGGCTTGCTGGTGGCTCTGGCTGGATCGTCCCCCGCCTACGCGCAGAGGAACCAGGGCTACTCGGGCAACGTGGACCCCGAGCTCCAGTTCTACAACCCAGGATTCAAGTCTGAGGGTCTGCTGAAGGAGTTGGGCGACATGTCCGGCCCCAAGTGGGATCCCAAGACCGACGTCAAGTACAGGAGCGAGGTGATTGTCAAGCTGCCTGGTGAGGCGAAGGACAAGAAGTGAGAGGCTTCTGAGATAAGGATTTGAGATTGTTTCTCTCATGCATTGGCGTGCTTACAGTGTGCTAAACTGCTAAACGGCCTTCTAGGGGCACCAGCAATTGCGGAGTAGTGACTTCTTTGCGAGATCAGTGCTCTTGGAAACCACGAGCTTCCTGTTTTTTTGTTGAGAGTGGCATTTGACCGAAGTGGATCTCTTGGCACGCATGCATACTTCATGCAACGGGCCATATTGCCAGGGTATCGTTTTTTGATGGCCTTCTGTCATTGTTGCTGGTTGGGTTTCAGCTTGTTGGTGGCCCCATCGGTTTATTGGTGGCGATATTGTCTTTGACACGTTCTGCAGTTGTTGTCAGTCACTGGTTGAGTGGATTTTCGCGCACCTTTCTTGTCCCACTTTGTTGCTGGTTTCTTGGAAAGCTTCCTCCATGTCCGTCATTGAGTGAGCCTTTGCTGAGCCATTTGTGAACATGTTCAGGACTTTTCTCAAAAGCCGCTTTCGGGGATGCCTCAAAAAGCCAGGTTGGATGTGCCTTTCATGTGAAAACTTTGAAAAGCCGACAAAATCATACAAAATTACTTTTGGGGGGTGGTTGCGCTTTATAAAGGAAAAAAGAGAGGATAATTTTGAGGATGTCACTTCAATTGTTTCCAGCTGTGTCCAAGCAAAACTTGCCAAAAGTAGAGTATTCTTACTTTGAGCTGCCCGATTTGATCATCAAGACACACCAGCAACGCGTAGTCCGCCTATGCGAAACTAAAAGCGATGCAACGTTGCAGGAGGCTCCAGTTCCCGTAAAATATCCTCCCACTGTGGTCCGAGGCTTGTGCAGCCGTACGTGTTTTTGTACGCCCAGTAGCACTTGTCAAGCCTATCTCTAACGCACTTGACGCCATGGCATTTCGCATGCTGATGCTGGTTACTGCGCTGGGCGGGGCCTCTGCTTTCGTCCAGACCGCCGGCACCGGTGCGCAAGTGGGCAGCCATGCGCAGGCGGACGTTCGCGGACGTGCTGCCGACATGGTGGAGGTCCAGGAGGAGGGTGCCCCTTTGATGTCTTTGGGCATGGGCTTGATGGCAGGCTTGCTGGTGGCTCTGGCTGGATCGTCCCCGGCCTACGCGCAGAGGAACCAGGGCTACTCGGGCAACGTGGACCCCGAGCTCCAGTTCTACAACCCAGGATTCAAGTCTGAAGGTCTGCTGAAGGAGTTGGGCGACATGTCCGGCCCCAAGTGGGATCCCAAGACCGACGTCAAGTACAGGAGCGAGGTGATTGTCAAGCTGCCTGGTGAGGATACCAAGAAGGCATAAGGGGGCTTCGTTCTGCTTGATTATTTTTGACAGAACTTAGCATGGCAATTTGTACAGCAAGGAGCCAAAATGCAAGCACGGTGCTGTATGTGTTGCAAGCTGTTTCAAACCATAAGGCCATTGCCGGGCCATGTCAAGGTTTTGAGGGAATCATTTGGGAGTGTTTCATTTGCATGAAGATCCGGTAGGTACAAGGGTTGAGCGTGGAAATTATGAACCTTACTTCTGTAGATTCCAAACCTGCACCATTTGTGCAGTTTATGCCAGGCATGCAATTTTGCATGCAGCAGGTGTCCAACGGCATATAACATTATATATATCTATACATACATCCTTCTCTGAAATTGGCCCATGGCTTGCATAGCCGTACGTGTTTTTGTACGCCCAGTAGCACTCGTCAAGCCTTCTCGAACACACTTGACGCCATGGCATTTCGCATGCTGATGCTTGCTACTGCGCTGGGCGGGGCCTCTGCTTTCGTCCAGACCGCCGGCGCCGGGGCGCAAGTGGGCAGCCATGCGCAGGCTGACGTGCGCGGACGTGCTGCCGACATGGTGGAGGTCCAGGAGGAGGGTGCCCCTTTGATGTCTTTGGGCATGGGCTTGATGGCAGGCTTGCTGGTGGCTCTGGCTGGATCGTCCCCGGCCTACGCGCAGAGGAACCAGGGCTACTCGGGCAACGTGGACCCCGAGCTCCAGTTCTACAACCCAGGATTCAAGTCTGAAGGTCTGCTGAAGGAGTTGGGCGACATGTCCGGCCCCAAGTGGGATCCCAAGTCCGACGTCAAGTACAGGAGCGAGGTGATTGTCAAGCTGCCTGGTGAAGAGTCCAAGAAGGCGTAAGGGGCTTCGTGCTACTGGGTCGTTTTTGAAGAGGCAGTTCTTCATTGCAAGGCGCCAAAATGCAAGCATCGCTACGTGTTTAACATATTGCATGCAGATGCACAGCATGGAGACATTGCTGTGATGTGTCACTTGTTCAGTTGTCTATTTAGGATTTGTTTAGAATTTGATTGATACAGAGGCAGGTACAAGGAGCAGAGCTTGAGGCATTTCACAGAATACGTGCAATTTTTCCTGCAGCAGGTCTTTACCTAGCATTTGGCAAGCTGTTCAAGGCTTGCATAGCCGTACGTGTTTTTGTACGCCCAGCAGCACTTGTCAAGCCTTCTCGAACACGCTTGACGCCATGGCATTTCGCATGCTGATGCTTGCTACTGCGCTGGGCGGGGCCTCTGCTTTCGTCCAGACCGCCGGCGCCGGGGCGCAAGTTGGCAGCCATGCGCAGGCTGACGTGCGCGGACGTGCTGCCGACATGGTGGAGGTCCAGGAGGAGGGTGCCCCTTTGATGTCTTTGGGCATGGGCTTGATGGCAGGCTTGCTGGTGGCTCTGGCTGGATCGTCCCCGGCCTACGCGCAGAGGAACCAGGGCTACTCGGGCAACGTGGACCCCGAGCTCCAGTTCTACAACCCAGGATTCAAGTCTGAAGGTCTGCTGAAGGAGTTGGGCGACATGTCCGGCCCCAAGTGGGATCCCAAGACCGACGTCAAGTACAGGAGCGAGGTGATTGTCAAGCTGCCTGGCGAACAGAAGAAGTGAGAGATCATGTTTTGAGTTTGTTTCTTCGCATTGGTATGCTACCTTCAACGGCCAGTGTGAGAAAAGGCTTTGCCAGACAGTTGTTGCTGGCACATGTTGCCCCCATATGGCCCAACCCAGTTTATGAATAGTTGCTTTGGGGTTTAGTGGGCAATCACCTGTTGAGGGGAACACCCCCCATTTGCAAACTGGGGTTGATCAACTCTCGTGCCTGTTCCGGGAGAGTATTTCTTTCACGAGTCGTGGCCTCCCGAAGCTGCAAGCGACCTTGAACAGGGCCCTCCCAATAAAAAAACTTGAGTTTCAATCTGCCTCAGGGTCCCAGGGAAGATCTTTTTACCCTGTGGTTCAAGCCACCAGTAAAACCAATATAACCACCAGGAGTAAGGATTGTCATCCAAGTTGGTTCAGCAAGACCCCACCGTCCGATCCCCCGATTCGAGTGAGTGGAGCGAGCCCACCCTCTTGTTGTAGCTTTCGGTGAGGGACCAACCTCAGGAGACCAGCCAAAAAACCCCAGGGGCAAACGGATCCGGTGTAAACGAAAAGAACGATGGTTGAAAAGGATGGAACAGGAATCAACCCCTAGAATGCTTAAGGAGTCGTCATCATCCAAATTGGTTCAGCCATTCTTGGGGGCAAGGAACTCTGGGGTTTTTTGATGTCACTCAACCAGGCCGCGCGCATGTCCGGGGGCCCGAAGCGATGCCGGGAATGGGCACTCAAAGAGCCAGGATTCAGACCCCAAAGCGGGGTGTCCAATGGGGTTTGGCTCTTCCATTACAACTAGGTCCCCTTTGTTGCATTTTGCTTGGCTGTTAGGACTTTAACTTTTTGCCAACTCATGGGTTTTCCATTAAACCACTAAAAGTTAAACTTTTAGCAGGGGTGCAGAAAGCAACCGAGTCCCAGTAGTGCCCTTTTAAGCCTTTTTTGGGGGAGGGTTCTGTTAGAAAATTCGACTGCAGAAAAAAGGGTACCTTTATTCTAACCTCTCTACTGGAGGACCTAGAAAAGCTCTGACCACTCACACAGCTGTGTGTTCAAGTCTGCCCGGCCTGCCCGGGTTTTTCTCAAGATTTCCGGGTGGACCTACCCTGAGGCTCATGACCCCATGCAGGTTTCCGGGCCCTCCAATGAAGAACCCGGACTGCTCGGGGGCCCCTTAAATACACCCAATTTTCGCTCAAAAATCATCGAATTGGAGCCTTAGGGTAGCATTTGTGCATCTGAGCCCCATCGAACAACCCCACTTGAATGCACCCCCAAAGCGAAATGGCCTATGCCGATTTTTTTTTTTTTTTTTTTTTTTTTTTTTTACCACGCTTCCTGTGTTTGTTGTGTGCGGTCATGACCCCCCAAATTTTGTATACCAGCATCCTTCTATTTGGCGGTTTGCATTGTGAGTAGTTTCCATTTACCCTCTACAAAAGCCAGGGGTTCGAATCCAAATCCCAACCACCAATCCAACCCACCAACTCAGGTTTGCTTGACTATAGGCCTTTATGTCCAAGTGCTTGGAGCAAATGAACCCAAGCGGTACGGATTTTTTCGCCTCCAGGGGTCGGCATGGGTTGGCCTTTGGCTGCATTTTGGCTGAGCCGAGGTGTGTGTGTGTGTGTGTGTGTCGCGGTCTAGGGATGGACATCCACTCACTCCCTGAGTTGCCCTGAGCTGCACTTGTCACTTGGGAATGCCATTTGGTTAGGTTCCAATTTAGATGCCTATGTTTGGCCCACTGCCATTTTATGATCAAACCGAGCGTTAGGACCTGCTTTGGCCAATCCAGAGTTATACTCCGATAAGATTCTAGAGCCCTGGCAAAACATAGGATCCCTTGAACTTGTTTTTCAAGGTTCACTCATGAACCACACATCAGGTTTTGTTGTTGACACGGATAGTGGTAAAACCGTTCCCCGGTTGTTTGGGATCAGACAGCCAATGTACCAGCCGTGGAGTTGCTCAAAGCTTCCCTAAAAGTTACATCACAAATCACAGAATGCCGACTAGCCTGGACCCTCCAACTACCCATGACAAAACCAGGATTATCCACGAAGGAATTCACCAAGTCCTTGATGTTGGGGCGACCGGTTAGGGGAATTGTTGGGTCCAGGTCCCATAGGTCCCGCCGCCATGGCGGGGCTCGGAGCTCTCTTGAAGCTGACCCGGAGCTCCGGCATTGAGCGCGTGCGGGAGGCTTTGCCGCAGCTGCCGGCGAAGTTGATCCTTGGGGCACTCAAGGAGCGACGACCAAAACATGGGAAGTGAGCAAGGAAATGGGCGTGTCGTGTTTCTTTTTGTCCCCCCCCCCTCCCCCTCCCAAGAAAAAAATGGTGGGTGTCCCTTAAGAAGCGAGAACAAAGGGATAACTTCAAAAAAGGCGAACCTTGAAAGCACACAGATTTTGCGTGCGCGAGCCAAGACTCGTGGTTATCTTGCATTAATATTGACCACACAAAAATGGTCACTCAAACAAGACACCCCTTGCCAAGGCCCCTTGCCGAACCAATGGGAAGCCCGCTTGGCCTTCGATGATTGTTTCTAAAGGGAGTTTGCTGCATTCAAACCCTAACCAAGCAGCTTTTGTTGCTCGATTTCCGTTGTTCGCCAGTTGTTCCTTTTGTGGGGTGATGTTTCACGGGGATACAGAAGGAACGTTTTGAAGCCCTGGCCGACCGGGCTTGCCCTGGAGGTAGGTTGGTTTTTCCGCGGCTCTGTTATTTGCCGCGGGCGCCGGAGTCCTGAAAGGGAAGCCAACACCATCCAGGTGGCCAGCGGAAATCGGAACTCTCGCGGTTCCTGCTGGTAGCATAGGCGTGTCTCATCTTTTCCGGGGCCCCGATATGGTTTTCCATTTTCCATTAAGCCCACGAAACAAGGCAGGAAGACCGCCTCAAAAGGATATCGAGGGCAGGGTGCTTGCCCGAGCTGGTAGCAACCCCTAGCTGATTCTCACTTGGCTGTTCAACAATCGGGTGACCCCAAATTGGAAGCCTGGTGAATGGAGAGACGGACTCCAGCCTGCGGTCCCCCGGTTTGATTTTGGGTCCCCATACGCGCTCGACCTTTTGACCTGACTCGTCTCCTGCTTGGTTCATCTTTAGCCGCGGTTCCGAAAGGTTCTTGCAACGGGCTGGGTCCTGTTAGGTCCTGTTGGGTCCTGCTGGGTCCTGTTGGGTCCTGTTGGGTGTTGTTGGGGAAGGTGGTCGTTTTTGAACGCGTGTTTTGGCTCGTTTTTGAACGCGTGTTTTGGCTCGTTTTTGAACGCGGTTTTGCTCAAGTGTATGTGATTTACAGCAGCACGGCCATTTTCCAAGTGTCCATGCACACCACGATGAGGCGCACGAACACGCACCACGATGCACGTGTAGCACATGGATGGCGCCGTGCTTTTGGGAGACAATCGTCAACTGTAGACCCGGGAACACAAAGCACAAGGAACGCAAAGCGACATCATCATCATCATCATCATCATCATCATCATCATCACCACCATCATCATCATCATCATCATCGTCGTCAACATCATCATCATCATCATCATCACCATCATCATTACCATCATCACCAACATCGTCATCATCACTACCAACAACATCACCATCATCAGCATCAACACCAACATCATCATCACCATCATCAACATCACCACCAACATCTATATCATCATCATCAACAACGCCGTCAACATCACCATCATCACCATCATCATCATCATCACCATCATCATCACCATCATCATCACCATCATCAACATCACCATCGTCAAAATTATCATCAACATCGTCAATATGAGCATCATCACCATCATCATCATCATCATCATTAACAACATCATCACCATTATCAACATCGACGTCGACATCACCATCATCATCGACATCATCAAAGTCATCGCCATCGACATCCTCATCGGCAACATCAATATCATCATCATTAACATCATCACCATCATCATCAACATCATCACCGTCATCATCATCATCATCAACATCATCATCATCATCAACATGGTCAACATAATCATCATCATCATCATCATCATCATCATCATGACCATCATCATCAACATCGTCATCATCGCTACCAACAACACCGCCATCACCACCAGCGCGCAGTCGCACGGTCACGCAGTAAGAGGCGAAAATAACTGCCCCACCCCATCCCCCCCCCCTCAGGACGCACGGTCACGCAGCAAGAAGCGAACGTAACTGCCCCACCCCACCTTCCCCCCCCCCCAACCCCAATACGCAGTTGCGCCGCCACGCAGTAAGCGGCGATCGCAATTCCAGGAGGCTCCGATTCGCAAGTTACTTAGGCCGTATGAGCTAAGGAGGTTTTTTGTGTCGCGAGGACAAGATAACTCAGAGCTTGAAATTTCACGAGTTTTCACGGCTTTTTCACGGAGTAGTAGCGGCCTTTCAGTTTCCCGCGCGAGTTATTACGGCCGTTAGACCGAGCTTTCACGGCTTTACGGGGGCCAACGAGCGCAAGTCGCCGACGACATCTTAGCTCAAAAAGCCAAGGTAACTTGGGACTCGGAGCCTCCTGGTTGCCCCCTTCCCCCAGCCCCAGGGCGCAGTTGCACGGGCACGCAGTAAGAGGCGAACGCAACTGCCCCACCCCACCCCCCCCCCACCCCACGGGTGCCGCAGGATAGCCCCCCCATGTGTTCGAAAATGACCCACTCTGTGTTCGAAAATGATCCAGGACATCGGTGTTCGAAAATGATCCAAAATCGGTGTTCGAAAATGATCCCCCTCCCGTGTTGTTGGGTTGTGCTGGGTCCTGCTGGGTCCTGTTGGGTCCTGCTGGGCCCTAGCACCGGTCCAAGGTTCCAAGGCTCCTGTTTGGGTCCTGGCAACGGGCTGCAGAGTGAACCATGCACAACTCCATTCTGGGAAACCAAATGACCAAGGGGCTACATGGCCAAATGGCCTGCTGGTGTTTCTCTGGCAGATTTGTGTATGAAGACTTGAGCACAAAGATATTCCAAAGATTCATTTGCCATAAGCATCAGAAAGGATCCTCCATTGGAGAAATCTGATTGGACCTCCATTGGAAGGTTTGGGACCTTTGGGACTTAAGCAATACTTTTTTGGAGGTACCCGATTCTTAGCGTTGGTTGACGGTGACGTTGGGATTATAGTGTTCACTAGCAGGGGGGAAGGGTCACCTTTTCTTTCCTCGGTTGCTGCGCGTTCGAGCAATGGACAATATGACCGAGGTCTCGTTTTCCCCATCGGCTTCTGAAAAGGTCATCTTGTCGGGTATTCAGACCACGATTTGTTTGGCCCACAAGAAAGCATGAAAATCACGGTTTGGCCTTTTGGCTTGCCTTAGACTGGCAGGTTGTTATCTTTGCGGACCGCGTCAGAGGTTGCGACAAAAAGGCATTCCGATTCAAAAGCAGCGACTGTGGGGGTTCCCGCAGTACACCAACCGGTTAGCCATTGCCTGCCGGCCAATTCTGCCAAGAACCCTTCCAATGGAGTTTCATGTTTTGCCACTAATTTGATGACACCTTTGTCAAGCAACAAGAGCAACTGTGTGTTGCTTGTTTTGCCATCGAATCGAAACTAAGCCTCGGGACCAGTTGCTTGTGACGCGGTGCCATCAAGTTTGTTTTTGTCTTGGTGCTCAGTAGGGAATGACCCAGGGTTTGGGAATGAACCAAAATGGGATTCCCTTAAATTAAACACTTTAGGGTTCATTCAACCCCATGAAAGAAACTGACATAATGGTTGACCCAAGTCGGATGATGACAATTCTGAACGGCAAACCATGGTGGTTGCATGACCCATCCATGGTTTCAGTGGTGGTTTGAATCGCGGGGAGCATGTTTAAACACAACACGATGTTGTTGAGCCGCCCATTTGTGGGACGTGGTGGCAAGCAGAAACTTGGTGGCTCCCAGCCATAGTGTTTAGTGGGGGTTTCCATTTTCCCCCTAAAAGTCAAACTTTTAGTTTTCTAGTGTTTAGTTGGGGGTTCCATTTAACCCACTAAAAGTTATTCACTTTCGGGGATCTGAGCCCAGGAAAATTATCGGACTTTCGGCCAGTCCGCTCAGCCAGTAAGACAAGTCCATGGTGTTTGGCCAATGTCGACTCCCCCTGGCAAATGGGAATTGCAGGAGGGGGGTGACCCGACCCCAGGAAATCCATTTCTGGTTCCATTGTCCCTTTCATTGGGAAGACTAGATCAATGGAATTGGGGGCTCCACCCCCTTCCCCCTTAAGGCAGGGCCCAATTTGGCCAAAAGTCAAAAAAATCGCCGGCAGGACAAGAAGCGCGGAGATCTCATCCTGAGCACTTTGGAAGTGCTCGGCGAAAGTGGCTCCTTAGAGGCGCGCGACTACACGCTGGCGATCACTGCCTGCGGGGCAGACAGCGACCCGGATGACAGATCTTTGCTCCGTTACTTCCATTTGGTTAAGCTTCTTTTTTAGTTTCCCCTGTTGGTTTTATTACGGGAATCCATCACTGGACATATTTTACTTGTTTCCAGGGGACTGCAAATGGAGGTTCTGCTGGTCTTGTGTATCAGGGTTCGGACCTCTAGAAACCGGAAGGCAGCTTGCGGATGGTTGGCTCAGCATTGTGCAGCGGCTCAAGACATTTGCGCGCGGGCGCTGGCTCCAGAAGATGCGTGCGCGCAGCAAGGGTGTTGGTTGCACGGTTGCACGAGGTGATGAGCTTGAATGGCTGATCCCTTCTGATTAACCTCGTTTTATTTGGTGGCGCAACTAGTTGCCAGCACACTGCTGTGCCAAACCGCCACATGGTACCTGACAGGCTCGCCGGTCAATGACCTGCCGACTTTTTGCTAGGTTCCCCTACCGAGTGCAAGCTTTGTGCTTCCTGCCAACGGAGGGCGCATGAGAAGGGGATTCTGTTAGAGAGCTTTTGGCGTGCTTGGGCGCCCACTGGCTGTTTGATCACTCTAGATCAAACACTTTTCACAGCGACATTTGCAACCTGAGGCGCAACCATGCGTCTTTCAGAAAGCCTTGCAGATACGGTGAACTTGGAAGCGCAGTTCGGGCATTTGCTTGCACTAGTTCGCCTGTGCCCGTGGCTGACTGTTTCGGGGATTCAGGGGCAGTGTTTTTTTTGCTAAAGGATGGAGCGGTTTGTTGTCTACAAGCTTGTGGCTGACTCAGCTTTAAGGTTTGGCGCGAGCAGCAAAGAGCTGTCCTCTTCCTGAGGGCTGTGGGGCAAGCTTCGGCGTAGAACTGAAGCAAAAAAGCAACACGGGGTACTTGCATTTCGTGTCGACCGGCGTCAGCCATGACTTGGATGTTTGCTTCAAGCGAAGTCAGCTAAGTCGCTGTAAGTCCGTGGTAGGACAACTGGCACGAAAGGTTCGCGTTGCTCAGACTATTCGGATTCGAAGTTCAGAACCCCGAAGCCCAGTTGCCAAGTCATGAAACTTGCAGCGGTGTTGCGCTTAAAGTGTTGAAGGGATTCAGAACAATTGACATCTTGCAGTGCACTGCCCGAGTTGTCGATATTTCTGACACATTTTCCGCACGTTGTATTTAACATCACGGGCCCCTCCTGCTCTGAATGTGTGTTTGGCCTGAGCACGCAATAGGCTCAGACGAAAAGCAAACCTGTCAGACACAACGTGAAAGCATTCGGGACGGCCCTGCGTAGCTCCTGGGAGAGTTTGCGAGTAGAGTAGTTGCTTGCCCTCGCGCAAGCGAGCCAGTCAGTGACTGAGTGACTGTGGATGTGCCATCTGCCGGCCTTCTGGGCACCTGTCGGTTGCACCTAGAGTTGGTCGACCGTAGAACTTCTTGGTGGCCCCCTGCCGTCCCCTTAGCTTTTTAGGCTTTTAGGATTTAGTGGTAGTTTCCGTTTAAGCCACTAAACGTCAGACTTTTAGCAGGGGATCTGAGGGCAGCCCAGACTTGTGACCCGTGCTGTCTAGGTGGAGCTAACACTCTGCATATCCCTGAAGCGCTGAAGCTGCCTTGAGTCACAGTGTATGTTCACAGTGCGTGCTTGCTGGGCCCAGCAAGAACTCGTAAAACATTCGGCGCTCGTGCTGTTGGGCGCTTGTGTCACCAACCACCGACACCTCCATATCCTGCTGCAGAGTTTCCAAACTGCAGGATGTTCGCTGGTTAGCCACAAATAGAGTCTGAGCTTCACTGGCTGCAGCCCACCAGATACCGATGGCCAGCTGTTTTTGTCCTACGTGATTTGCTACCCTTGCTTCGTGAGCTCCCCAAGTGCCGAATAATTTCGTATGATCAACCAATCGACTTTGGTGGAGATCCATCCCAATTCGGCTCCCTCCCTCACATGAGCAGAGTCTGAGCCTATAACCTATCCAGTCCGGAGCGTGACTCCTATTCCGATTCACAGTACTGTAAGTACCTCGGGCTAAGCCCAGGGTTGTGTGTCGAAGCACGTTTTTCATGAGTCCCGAAGGAGCAAAGAACGACGCACGTTTGACGGGCCCAGCCCGTTGCCCCAGCCTCTTCCGCGAGACTTCGGCTGTGCTAAGCCAAGTGTGACTCTACACCAGGTGCTTCCCCACGTGTTCAGAAATTGGAATGTCTGCGCTTCGAAGCGCAACGTGTAGATTCTGACCAGCCCTGCGGTTTGCGCGTGTGTGGGACGAGTGACTGCTTCGAAGGTTGGATGTGTTTCGACACACCGGGCAGGCACTTGAGTTCCGTAGAGCTTGAGTGGGCAGTGCGGCCCTTGGCCTAGCGCTGGCTGAGTCTGCAAGTTTGCAACGCCTCGGCTTGAACTTAGCCTCAACTGGATGGCATTCTTGGCTGCTGGGCCGGCTGGGCCTACATTTTACCTTGCTGGACACGATGCATGTTTGACCAAGCACTTAGCCTTTGCAGACAAAGGCCAGCCGATGTTTGGCTCCTTTGAACTTGCTGTATTTGAGCTGCCTGAGCGCTTTGCAAACCCCAGAGGAAGCTTGCGCCAGGCGCAGAGCGCGCATGAACCCGGCGCGAGGCGTTGGCTAAAGGATGGAGCGGTGTGTTGTCTACACCCTAGGCTTCCAGCTATTATACGAATGGTCGAGGGACATTGCTTTTGTAGCTTTTCCTTTTTGAAATGGTCGAGGCTATTTAAAGAATAGTCGAGGACGCATAGGGCACAAGCTTGTGGCCGACTCAGCTTCAAATTTTGGCGCGTAGCGCGCAGAAGTGCTCTTCCTGTGGGCTGTGGGGTAAGCTTCGGCGTACCAAAAATAGAGAAGCAGCATGGGGTATTTGCATGTCGTCAGCTATGACTTGGATGTTTGTTTCCAGTTAAGTCAGCTAAGTCCCTGTAAGTCCGTGGTAAGACAACTGGCACAAAAGGTGTGCGCTGCTCAGACTGAGCAACTGATATTCGGAGTCGAAGCTCGGAGCCCCGAAGCCCAGTTCCAAAGTCATGAAACGTGCAGCGATTTTGCAAAGAGTTGAAGGGATTCAGAACAACAATAATTGACATCTTGCAGTGCCCGGCCCGAGTTGTCGATATTTCTGACAGATTTTCCACGTTGTATTTAACATCATGGGCCCCTCCTGCTCTGAATGTGTGTTTGGCCTGAGCACGCAATAGGCGCAGAAGAAACCCTGGGCTTCCCTCGTCTCCGTTATACACAGTCGTCCTCTCCTCACATATTTGTCTCTTTTTTGTCGTCTACGCACATATTTTTGCACCGGCTACTTTTAGCAGGACATTCATCGTTTTCGGGCCTTTTTACGTTTTGTTGCGCAATGATGGTTAGATCCATGGTGGTCACCAAGACGCAAGTGCAAAGGGTCCTTACGAACTTAGATGTTGATCCAAGGCCATGTGTTTATTTGCCTCTGTTATTCTCGATCGACCTCTATACACCGTCGCCTTTTGTTCTTAGCATCGCCGCGATTTTTCCATGGTCAGGACTTTGGTCATTTTTGGGGTCAAGCGGATGGTTTGGGATGGTCTCGCTTGAAACTAAAGAGCGCGCAAGAAAGGGCCGTCATGAAGTCACTCTTAGCCCTGTTTAGCACCCAAATTATCCGATATCTCCATTATATGGGTTTAAACTTTTCTTACACCCTCGCACTTTTCAGTTTTGTTGCAGTTGGGTGCCTAGCGCACCCTGGCAAACCCTCACTTTGTGATGCCCTGATCTCGCTTGAAAGCAAAGGTCCTGTGCAGGATGGTGGCCACTGTTCAGCATCTACTCTGCTCCATACCGTTTTGAACCTCATGTTTTGTAATGTGGCCCTGCCTCTCAATTTTCTTGGCGGGTTTCAGGTGCAAAGGCGACCTCCGGAGCATGCACGTTCATAGCGTTGTTATGAGAGCCCGCGGGCCTGCAGGCATTCTCGCAGAAACCACATACCTGGACCTGCTGAAGCTACACTTGTTTGCCGATTGGTGTTTGAGCTCATTTTTTCGCAAATTCAGAGAATTTTGCCAATTCAAGCAAATACTACCGATTCAAGCAAAAAACGCCGATTGGAAAATCATAGCTGCTCAGCCCAGGCGCGTTTGCATTGCACATTCACGGCTCTTCGCCTGTGTGCTCGCTCAATGTCTAGACTCTGCACTGCGCACACCTACCGTGTAACACAATATTGTTTGCCATACTTGGGCCACGCTAGGGGGGCCATGTTTGATAAAGCTGACTCGAAACGCTTTTAAATGCACGCCTGGAATTCACCTGCAGCTGCAGGGGGCCATAGAAGCAGCAGAATCCACTGCATACACAGCAACATGGCAAAAGCAGCAGCAAAACATTCTGCAGAGTGCATGCATGCAGCGCCACTGGGAATATTCGCCTCGGAACCCATACCCCTTCTTGTACATGCAGCGCAAAACTATAAAATGCTGCAGTTGGGGCCCAGTTCAAGCCGAGAGCCTGGCCTTGCACTATCACTCATGATGTAAAGTCCATTGCACAAGCTCCATGTCCAAAGAAGCCTTTACTTGGGCATATGTTGCCTTGCAGCTCGTGGGCGGCATCGTTCTTTGCTGCATGGTTTTACTTGGATTCCCAAATCAGAACTCTTGCCTTATCAGATAAGGCCCGTCCTCAAAAGCGGGCACCGACGTCCTCAAATATGGGTCCGGAGCAGATCGCTGACTGGCCGGCAAAGATCGCCGACTGGCTGGAAACGATCGGCAACTGGCCGGTAACAATTGCCGAATCGTTTTTTGCTCTTTCCGTTGCTTTTGCTTGGGTGCCCGCCTGTAAATTTTCAGAATATGCAAGCGAGCTTTGCAGCCCTCGATTTCTGCGTTTCCTAAGGTGGCACGCAGTGCTTCGGGCTCAGACTTTGCTGTGAAGTCTACTTGGAAGCGGGCCTTGAGATTCAATATTTCCGCGACCGACAAGTTGTTGATCAAAAACCCGTCAAAACCCTGGGTTTTATAAG